GTGTGACTTACCCTCCTGTACCATAAACTGACTTTTCTATCTCTTATTCTCTTGTCTTTATATTTCTGCTACATTTTTCTTCCCTTATTTCCTATCTGAGACTGTAGCTTTCCAGTGGATCTACTCAGCCCTGCCATGGGCACAAAAGAACTGATGGAGTCTTGCCAGGAACTGGCTCCTGCAGGCTCCATTTCAACTATAGTTAGTTACAACATGTCTCAAGAGACCCATGAATCTCAGAGAGCTCTTACACAGCAGTTAGAGAGATCTAGGCCAATTTGCAACACATATTGATGTACAAGGGAACAGAATTATCTGCTGAGATACAGCACTTGGCCTGTGAATTGGAGTCTTCTCTACGAGCAATGCAACAACTTTTGCGGTTTAGCAGCTGATGCCTGCTTTCTCAAAAGCTATTGGGACATCAGGAGGGGACCGTTATCTCTAGTCATATCATCATCATTTTATTTTTCATTTAGATACATTTCTGAACTTCCTTAAATTGTTGTTCCCATCAGGATTGCACAGCTAAGATTTCAACATTGAGCCGAGGCCTGTGCTTGGTCAACTAAGAACAAGAAAGAAACAATGGATGTGGTTCTCATGAAGAAGAGACGGACAATAACTGATTTAAATGAGGTTCTAAAGTACTAGGAATAAAGTATGTATCATTATCAATTTTAAAACAGGTTTGCCATCAAAAAGGTGTAAATTTAAAAAGTATAAAGCAGGAGAAAAGCAATGTGAATTCGAATGATGGTGTGGAGCAATGGAAATTATGTCCAGCTGTCTCAAATAGAAAATAAATAGATTAAAAGATTATTAGGTTATTTAGCCTTAAAAATAAATGAAATGCTCATATATGCTGTAATACGGATGAAACTTGAAGACATGATGCCAAGTGAAATAAGCCAGACACATAGGTGGAAAAATACTGTATGATTCCATTGATAGGAGCTACCTAGAATAGAGAAATTCAGAGACAAAAAGTGGAATAGAGGTTACCAGAGTTTGAGGGGAAAATTAACAGGGAATTATTGTTTAATGGGTATAGAGTTTCTGTTTGGAATGAGGGAATGGGTCCTGGAAATAGATGGTAGTGGTCGTTGAACAGCACAGTGAATGTACTTATGTCACGGAAATTGTATACTTAAGACTGGTTAAAATGATAAATTCAACGTCATGTATATTTTACCACAATAAAGTACAATATTTGAGTTAAAAAAAATTTAGGTAGCTGAAGGGACTCAATATGAGGACTGGAGAACCAAACTTGGCAGCTATGCAATTAGGAATTCCAGCCTGTATTGTGGAGCTGAATAATACAGAATTTCTCTCTCACCCTTGCCACTGTCACGCAGCTGACACTGCTGATACTCTTTGCACCACATCAGCCTTGAACCAGCAACTGGAGCTAGTCTCAAGACTTCCTGAGGAACTCAGCCTTATTATGACATCCTGCATCACCAAAGATAATTCTCTGTAATTTCTGCTTTATATTACAGACTTCTGATTTAAAGTTCTGGGAGGGGGCATCTGAAAGTTAGATCCTTGGCCATAACTATGTCATAGGTGCAAAAGAGGGTTGGTCAGGTGCTGTGGCCCAAGCCTGGAATCCCAGTACTTCAGGAATCCAAGGCAGGCAGACCACTTGAACCCTGGAGTTCGAGACCAGCCTGGGCAACATGGCAAGACCCCTTCTGTACAATAAATACAAAGGTTAGAGTGTGGTAGCACATGCCTATGGTTCCAGCTACTTTGGAGGCTAAGGTGGGAGGATTGCTTGAGCCTGGGAGGTTGAAGTCACAGTGAGCCAAGATCATGCCACTCTACTCCAACCTGGGGCAAGAGAGCAAGACCCTGTCTCCAGGAGAAAAAAAAAAAGAATCTGGTAACAACATGCAGAATACTTCCAGTTGCCACTACAAATAGCAAAGGAGTTATATCTCCAAGATGTGCAATGTGGGAATCCTGTAAGCAAGGGAAAGGTGTTAAGATGGGCATTCTCATTCTTAATATCTGCCTATGTAGAAACAGTTTCATAAATTACTAAGGGAAATTTAAATTCATATATGCCTACTAGAGAAAAATTTTTGCAAAGTGTAGCAAAAAAGTTGGAAAACTTCCAGGGAGCTAACCAACATATATAGAGTGCTATCCAAAGGAAATAAGAAGTAATAGATGTTTGGTGTAGTGGATCACACCTGTAATCTCAGTGACTTGGAAGGCTGAGGCAGGAGGATTATTGAGTCTAGGAGTTGGAGACCAGACTGAGCAATGCAATGAAACCCAGACTCCCCCAAAAAAAAAAAAAAAAAAAAAAAAAGGCCTTGTTTTGGGCTGCACAGGTCCCCATTAAGCACAGAAGAACTTATCCCCCAATTGTTAGCTGTGCTACCTGCAGACAGCCATCAACTTGCCTTTGAAAATGCTTTCACTAAATAAAGTCATCTTGCCCAAGGTCACAGCTCTTTTGAGAGCAATTTGTACCTGTGACTAGTTGACATGAGGGAGTAAAAGCTTTTCCCTTTTACCTCAACTTGGCTGCATTCTGAAGGATTACCCAGGTTTAGGTCTGGGTGGGCCAGCTAAAGCCGCCTTTGAGGCAGCATCATTCCCAACTCCTCCAGCCTAATCCTGTTTTCTCCCATTCCATTAAACAAATAGGGGACCTGACCTGAAAGCATTCCATAATAAACTTCCTGCATGCTAAAATCATCTCATATTCTGCTTGCCCAGGAACCCAAACTGATACAGAGAACTGCCTGAAGATGGTATATACACCATTGTTCATCACTACATTATTTTAGCCATAAACATTTTTGAAAAAGGACTTCGCTGTTGAATCATATATTAAGTAAAGCATTATTCATAAAATAGTATTGATGGCTGCATAATCTCTTATAGATTTGTGTCATATTACTAACAAAATTAAAAGTAATACAAATAGCATAAATATTAATAAATTATATACCAGACAGAAAAGAGAGGAAAAAGTCATATTTCTAAGTGTTAATAGAAATCATACTTGGTGAGATGAGGAAAAATTTTTGTTAGTACTTTCACTTGTATCCCAACTTTTCTACATTAAGCATATATCATTTTTTATATTTTTTACATTTTTTTAAAATTTTACTTTCATTTCTGGGATACATGTGCAGAACATGAAGGTTTGTTACTATAGGTATACATGTGCCATGGTGGTTGGCTGCACCCACCCACCCATCATCTACATTAGGTATTTCTCATAATGCTATCCCTTCCCTACCCTCCCACTCTCCAACAGGCCCTGGTGTGTGATGTTCCCCTCCCTGGGTCCGTGTGTTCTCTCATTGTTCAACTCCCACTTATGAGTGAGAATATGCAGTGTTTGGTTTTCTGTTCCTGTGTTAGTTTGCTGAGAATGATGGTTTCCATGTCTCTGCAAAGGACATGAACTCATCCTTTTTTATGGCTGTATAGTATTTCATGGTGTATATATGCCACAGTTTCTTTATCCAATGTATCATTCATGGGCATTTGGGTTGGTTCTAAGTCTTTGCTTTGTGAACAATACCACAATAAACATACGTGTGCATGTGTCTTTAGAGTAGAATGATTTACAATCCTTTGGGTATATACCCAGTAATGGGATTGCTTGGTCAAATGGTATTTCTGGTTCTAGAACCTTAGTGAATCACCACACTGTCTTTCACCATGGTTGAACTAATTTGCAATCCCACCAACAGTGTAAAAGCATTCCTATTTCTCCACATCCTCTCCAGCATTTGTTGTTCCCTGACTGTTGAATGATCGCCATTCTAACTGGCATGAGATGGTATCTCATTGTGTTTTAAATTTGCATTTCCCAAATGACCAGTGATGAGCTGTTTTTCATAGTTTGTTGGCTGCATAAATGTCTTCTTTTGAGAAGTGTCTGTTCATATCCTTCACCTACTTTTTGATGGGATTTTTTTTTTCTTGTAAATTTAAGTTCTTTGTAGATTCTGGATGTTAGCCCTTTGTCAGATGGGTAGATTGCAAAATTTTTCTCCCATTCTGTAGGCTGCCTGTTCACTCTGATAGTTTCTTTTGCTGTGCAGAAGCTCTTTAGTTTAATTAGATTCAATTTGTCAATGTTGGCTTCTGTTGCCATTACTTTTGGTGTTTCAGTCATGAAGTCTTTTCCCTTGCCTATGTCCTGAATGGTATTGCCTAGGTTTACTTCTGGGGTTTTTATGGTTTTAGATCTTACGTTTAAGTCTTTGATCCATCTTGAGTTAATTTTTGTATAAGGTATAAGGAAGCGGTCCAGTTTTAGTTTTCTGCAATGACTAGCCAATTTTTCCAACACCATTTATTAAATAGGGAATCCTTTACACATTGCTTGTTTTTTGTCAGGTTTGTCAAAGTTCAGATGGTTGTAGATGTCTGGTGTTGTTTCTGAGGCCTCTGTTCTGTTCCATTGGTCTATATCTCTATTTTGGTACCAGTACCATGCTGTTTTGCTTACTGTAACCTTGCAGTATCATTTGAAGTCAGGTAATGTGATGCCTCCAGCTTTGTTCATTTTGCCTTTTTTTTGGGGGGGGGGAGGGTGTGGTGGGGGATGGAGTCTTGCTCTGTTACCAAGGCTAGAATGCAGTGGCACAATCTTGGCTCACTGAAACCTCCGAACCCCGGGTTCAAGTGATTCTCCTGCCTCAGCCTCTTGAGTAGCTGGGATTTATTGAGTAGCCTGCCATCCTGCTTGGCTAATTTTTGTATTTTTAGTAGAGACAGGGTTTCACCAACTTGGCCAGGCTGGTCTCGAACTCCTGACCCTCGTGATCCTCCCAAAGTGCTGGGATTACAGGAGTCAGCCACCGAGCCTGACCAAGCATACATCTTTTCACAGAAGAAAATTATATAAGTATTTTATATTTGTGATTTGTCCAGATTTTAAAATAACGTTGTCAAACTATTTAAAGTAACAAATAGTTTTAACTTTGTGTGAGGTGGGAGCAACATAAACAACTTAGTCATCTTAGTCATTTAACATTGAGATGTCAGATATATCCCAAGAGTATGGACTTTAATATGAGGTGAAGGAGATAAACAGTTTAATGTTCACAAGAATTTGCCTTCACAATAAATTTTATATACCATAATTTTCATGCTTAGGAATTTTTTTATAACAATAGTATTTGCTTAGCATACTACTAACAGTAATAGTGATATTGTATTAGTGTTGGGCATTGTAGCAGACTACCCAGGCCTAGTTGCTAAAAAGTGTCTAACATTGTCAAGCGAACGCCTTTTTATGGAAGCCGCAAAAGAGACAAGGTGAATTCAAGGGCAAATGTACCAGTGTGGCTACAGATTTTGTTAGAAGTGCTTTTTCCTGAGTTAGGATCTTCCCTGACAAGGTGGATCTCAGTATCTCCACACAGCTGTGCCACTCTTGTGTTGGCCCACTTTGGAGAGAGAAAAAAATTGAGAAGAAAAGAATATGCAAGACTTGCTTATCACCCCAACCATTTCTATATTATTCCATATTACATTCAGATACTAGTACATGCATATTATTTAGCTTATACTCAAGAGATGGATTCTATGAATAAAGACATATAATGAAAGAATATTAAAAGCCTGATATTAGTAACATTGGATGCACCAACTGAAAAATAGCAATGTAACACTTAAGAAATAAGGGTGTCTTTGAATGATGGGGTACATACTAGTCAAGTGGCTGAGAAAGCATGTACTTCTGAAAAACATTTACTCTGGGAAGCAGTAATAAGGTTTATATACATTTTGCTTTAATTTTTAAAATGATATCTGGAAATGGAAGTTAAAAACAATTGGTTAGCCTTTATAAAATTAAACTGATAGGGAAGAAGAGAATGTTATTAAGTAAACAAGAGAAACAACTATAAATTTTGAAATTAGTGAACAGGAGGACTGACAGTACAGAACATAAAAACCAGTAATTTGGAAGATAAACTTAAGGAATTACCCAAAAATACCAAGGAAACACAAAGTGAGAAAGAATATGATAAGTGAGAATACTGGCTATCAGAGATTTCAAGCGAATCCTCGGTGCTAGTAAAGAAGGGAGAACAAATGGAAGAGACTAGAGACACAGAAAGAAAGGAAAAAAAGTTTTGCAGTGATGAAAGCCTATTAAATATAGTTAATTATACCTAAACCTGTCTGGAGCATTTGAAACATAATATGGTTTGGCTCTGTGCCCATCCCCCCAAATCTCATTTTTTTAATTGCTATAATCTCCACATGTTGAGGGAGGGACCTGGTGGGAGGTGATTGGATCATGGGGGTGGTTCCCCCATGATGTTGTTGTGATAGTAAATTCTCAAGAGATTTGATGGCTTTATAAGTGTTTGACAGTTCCTCCTTCATACACATTTTTCACCATGTAAGATGTTCCTGCTTCCTCTTTCATCATGATTGTAAGTTTCCTGAGGCTTCCTCAGCCATGTGGAATTCTGAGTCAATTAATCCTCCTTTCTTTATAAATTACTTAATCTCAGGTGGTATTCTTTATAGCCATGTGAAAACAGACTAATACAAAATGTTTGTTCTCTACTTCCTTGTGTCAGCTGTCTATTGCTGCATAACAAATATCTCCAAACTGTAATAACTTGAAACAACACATATTTATTATCATACGGTTTGTGTGGGTGTGTAATCTGGACAAAATTCAGCTGCATCCTCTACTTCAGGGTGTCTCACAAGGCTGAAGTCAAGATTCAACTGGGAAGGAATCTAATTCCAAGCTTATTCAGTGGTTGTTGGCAGACTTCACTTCATTTATGGGTCGTTGAACTCGGGCTCATTTTCTTAATGGCTGCTAGCCAGAGACCACCTTCAATTCCTTAACACATAGTAGTGATTTCCAATGTGAATAGTAAAATCTTAATTATAATAATAACCCTTTCCATATTCTGATTGCAAACAACTAAAATTTGCTTTTTTTTCCATGCATACTTCATTATTTTTTAAAAAGCTAAAAGCATTCCCAAAGCCCACATAAAAGCAGCAATTTGGTGAGTTATAATAAGTAGACAAATACTATGGTATCTTAGTCTTACAGTAACTGGATAAAAACACAATTTAACCTAATAATGTTACTGTTTTAAAGTAGAGAAGGTAAAAATAACAATAAAAACAGGTTCAGTGCCATATCTGAGGTGGCTAAATGTCAAATAAGCAGAATTCTCTTAAAGTTAGAAAGTTATGGCTGTAAGTGTGGAAACAGTATTGTGAAATCAAAGTCTGTTCTAAACTCCTCTGCAGTTCAGCTGAAAGGGAAACATTGTAGGACTTGGGTTCACAGTTCTATGATAAAATACTGGTTTTCCTGTCATTGTACTACATTATTTCTCTTCAAATAGGACTTATGATGCATCTGCATCAGGGACCTAGTGACATCATTTAGGAACTTGCAGGAATGTTCACATGCCACTGCTTGAGAGTGTATGGTTTAGTTTTTGCTTGGGTTATGGTACATGGCTTGTTGAGGATTCACCGGTTTAAGATTTCCATTCCATCAGTATAAAAAAGGATTATATGAATCGATTACTGGGGTCAGGTGTTACACACACACACACACACACACACACAGAAAAGGCTCATAAGTTGGTCACAAGTACACAATGGCTTTCCAGGAAATAGGGATTTATTTCCGGGTCAGGGGAGGGTCTTCTGAAACCTCACAGGGCAGATAAAGCTCTACTTTTTAAGTTGTTCTTGTGCAAATGCCACATGGAAAGAAAACCTCTATCCTTGACAGTGATTTGATCAGTGGATTCTGGATTTCCTGAGGATTGAGCTTCACTTTTGAGGCCAGAGTGAACTTACCTAGAACCTCATACTGCAAGGGTAAATGAACCATAAAGTTCCTCATGAAGAGACAGGCCTATGGGGACGAGGTGAGTGATGGAAATTGGTGAAGTAGACAAATACAAGAAAAACTGTAGCTGTGATGATGAACTAAAACATGTTCCCTGATTATGGAAACAACTACATTACCAGTTAGGATGATCTTTGTTGAAACAGAGAAAATCCAACTCAAAATGGCCTAAACGACGAGGAAAATTTATCGCTCATATAACAAGGAGTACCAAGAAAGTGTGAGGTAACTCCAGCAGTCATTAATCTACCAGTTCAATGACATCATTGAAAGGCCAGGTTTTATTCTTTTCATCTTTCTGCTCTATCTATCTTCTTCAGCCTTCATAATCACAGTGTGGAGTGTAGCAGTACCAAGGTAGAGTATTCAGATGCCCATATCCAGAAAACTTTGCCAGAAATGTCCTAACGTAATTCCTCTCTTGTCTTATTGGGGAAAAAAAAAAAGGGCAGAGGGTGGAAAATAAAATCATCTCCAAGTCAACTACTAGCAAGGAAAAAATGAGGTTATTATAATTGACTTAAAGTGATAGGTATTTATCCATGAAATGGAGATATTTTTTCCTAGAAGTGGGCAGGTGAACAAAATTTAGGGTTCTAAAAGCAAGGAAAGGAAGGGGATTATTTGGTAGGCAACAAATAGTGTTTGCTATGTTACCCATCAACTATGCTGATGGTTGCTATGGGCAATGTAATTCTATTGTTGACAAAGCATTGGATTACGTTTTGATTACATCTGACAACGCTGAGAATCTGGATGTTTATGCAAGATCTCTCAATTCTTAAATATTAGCAACACATTCAAAACATTTAAAAGTACTATGTGTCCAATATCGTTCAGACCAAATAAAATATATTTGCAGTGCAAATATGGCCTACAGGTCACCAGTTTGCAACCTCTGGTTTATCCGATTAACTACAATTTTCTCCATTTAAAAAGTGAAAACCACTTTAACCATGACAGTAATTAACTCTACAAATATATATGATAAAACATTTTTTAATTCATAGCTTTACTAAATTGTAGAAAACCTCAAATGGTATAGCTAATAATGATTTCAGAAGCTAATGTAGAAAAGAGATCCACAAAACAGAATGTTTACATCATTTTCTTAACTGAGATTCTAATTTGACAAGTTAATGGTTAAAGCCATCAAGATGTTGCTACTCATTTAATGGATGTACAATTTTTCTTATTCCTCCAAGATTAGTGTAATGTTTTTATGTTTTGTTTTAATTAGAGAATGAATCAATTCCTATTAAAGATTTTAACTTCCCAGATATTTCTTTACAATCACTTTCCTTCTTATAAGAATGGATAATTGAAATTTTAAACTCATGCAAAGGTTCTCAGGCATATGTCCCTCTTGAAAATTTTCTTTAGTCTCTTCAAAGTCTAACACAAATCAGAAAATGTTAACCTTCTTGAGTCAAGAGCAAATACTCGTGAAAAATAAGTGTATTTCTCTGCCATCCAGATTTTCCAGTTTTCCAAGTTGATAATTTAGCCATCAGTTCCTGCTTAGCTGTTGCCTCATGCTTTTAGATTTGAGTCCTAAAAAAGACAGAACTTTTAAATGATCAACTTTCTTCAAAAATTTAGATATTTATTATGAAACTGATCTATGAAGAAATTAAAATTAATTATCTGAAGTCACAGTTTCTATTTCATAGGTCAGTTGATAAAGTAAAAATGAAAAAGCAGAAACGAGAGAGGATAGGAAGGGAGTGAGAAAAACACCACATGAAGTTCTAAATATCTATCTGGTAATTAGCATAATATGGAGAAAGTGTTAGGGGACCTTCTCCATATTAGGTAGGAGAGTTATAGGATACTAATTCTATAGAAGGTTTCTTCTCATGTTCATCCTTACAGAATATTTCTGAGAAAATAAATAATATTGGTATCTACATGGCTTTCTAGCTGAGGCCCTTCTAATTTCTCTCTTTTTAATTGTTGGCCATATTCAGAAGGAAGACATTCCATGTCAGCACCCATCTCCAAATCATACAGATACTATTCTTAGTAAATTTTTTCTAAAAAGACAGGTGGGCCTTCTCTTCTTGATAGTAGGAGATGATACAAGAAGATAATTTGGCTATAGATCTCTCACTTTAGGTGTAGATGTTCAATTATCCTTGAAAAGAGTAGAGGGAAGTGCTTTTGTGTCTTTATGCTACATTAATTATAAAAATGGTATGTCATTAGAAATGCTATGCTTGTCCCATCTTGGCTATATTTATTTCCTTAATGAAATTATTTCTTACCTCTTCTTCACTCATTTAAATTCTCCCCAACTTTCAGGGTCCAGTTCAAATTCCAACTACTCAATCAATGAATATTCATCCTACTTTAACCACTCCGAACCCACTGAATTTCTCCTCACCATATTTTTCTTGTCAGTGTCACTCATCTTGGGTGATACTACAAATAACAGTTGAGGAATCAAGTACTCCATTTTTACATGACTTGTTTTCTCACTAAAAATGTGAAATTCCTTGAAAGATAAAAACCTTAAATTTTGGTCTTTCTTATTTACCCACAGCAGAATACCAAGTACAAGAAACATGGTCAGGAGCCATTTAAGGAGTAAATGTACTGCAATTTTTACTTCATGAGCACCTGACTTTTATTCCAGGTTGGCCTCTATATCGTCTGTTTTTCATACCCTACCTCCTACAGAAAACTATGACTAATAATAGGCCTTATTCTATCTATCTATAATATATATATATAATGTAAAATATCACATAATACAATTTTATCTCCTCTTAAGCATCTAGAAATGAATCTTTGAAGGAGACATTTTACCTCACACAGCAGAGCTATTTATCATTTCTCAATAATTACATAACAGTAACACTTTTATAATGAAACATCAATACCCATACTAATTTATAGACAGTAAGTGGGCTTTGCTTTTTAGATATCCCTGGGACAAATGTGCTGTGATATCTCCAGTGAACCTTAAGAGCACACATCCTGATAAATAACCCATGCATTTGGAGACAGTATTCGCAATGAGCAGAAGAGATATTAAAAATTCACCAGTGACTACCTGATACTTACAAGGAAAGAAGATGATCTAGGTGCAGGAATTGGAGGTGGTGAAAAATCTGGCTTTGTAATTAGCTAGTAAAAGGATAAAAAAATTAAATTGAAAGATTGGGTCCTGAAAATAGGTGCGCATGAAAAGGCTTATATCATTTTCAGAAATGGAGAAGCCGTGACCCCACCCATGAGAATATTGTAAACATATGAGTTTGATTGCTTTCATTTAGTTGCACACACACAGTTGAGACCTAAGTCCAATGCCAGTAGGTATCTGATGAAGATGACTGCTATAAACTGTATCTTTGTGTCACCCCACAATTTCGTATGTTGAAACCCTAATCCCCAGAATGATGGTATTTGGTGGTGAGGCCTGTTGGAAGTAATGAGGTCATGAGGGTGTAGCTCTCGTGATAGGATTAATGCCCTTATAAGAAGAGGCACAAGACAGATGTTCTCCCTCTGCTATGTGAGCATACAACAAAAAGACAGCTGTCTACAAGCCAGAAGGCTGCTTCACCAGACACCGGATCTGCCAGCTCCTTGAACTTGGACTTCCCAGTCTCCAGAATGTGAGAAGTAAATATCTGTCGTTTAAGCCACTCAGTCTATGCTAATTTAGTTACAGCAGCCTGAGCTGATGAAAACAGTGGTACTCTGTTAAGCAGATTAGTCCTCTTCTTGTCACAAGTTGGCATGGTGGCATACATGTTCACATTTTATATTTTCAAACTATTTTGCAGAAGAATTTGTATTTTATATTAGTATTCACATAGATTTCAGTATTGTCCTGAAGAAATAATGAAGTGTTGTGGGCTATGACTTTCACCGATATTTCCTGGAGATTGAACTAGGGTGTGATATTTAAGAGAAGTTGCGAACTCACAAAAGAGGCTGGGGGCTCATTGCCTTCTACTGGCAGATCATACACATGGAGCTTCATCTGACTCATCTGAAAAGAAGAATGAATCTTTCAAAATGAACCATTAGTTTCATAGGCACAGTTTTTAAGGAAGCAGACTTTTCAAGGCATGGAAGCTTGGAACTAAGTTGACACCAAGAGACCAGATAGAAAACCACAGTCGTCCAGTTGGTGTATTCCATAGAAGTATTTCCCAGAGTTGTAATGAAAAGTTGTCATCAAAAAAGGATTACCAATGTTATCACTAACCAACTTCAGCTAAAATCTTTAAATTTACAGGACATGAGTAGGACATTTGGGTTATAAATATTACATGTATTATCATACAGACATACATATTTTTGGATCTATTAGTCAATTTGCAAAGAAATAACCTAGAGTCAGAGCAAGAGGGAGTGTGTGTGTGTGTGTGACAAAGAAAGAAGCAGAGACAGAGACAGGGACAGATAGACATCTGGTATGTCCCTTTTTGTTCTCCTTATTCTATTTGCATTTCGTGAACCCCGGCAAAGTAGCTCTGCATTTTAGGGACTCTTTTTTTGCATTCAATAAAAGGCAAAGGAGACACTTCTGAATGTGGAATTGCACAACACTGCTGGGTAGAAAGGATAGGTAGTCAGGATAAGAGTGTGAGAGAAATGCAAAGTGGGGCCATGGTAATCACAGCCCAAACTATATAGTTCACCTTTTGTGGTTTAACAGCCTTTACCATCTGGGGTTTCCTCTTCTGCTTGTGTGGCCTGGTGCCAGTGGTAGATAGTGGCCTGTAAGAGAGAAACACATGGTATCAATTGACTTAGCAGCTCCTTCAGCATGACAGGGAAACTCGGTAGAAGATTCCCAGCTTCTTTTTCCCATTGTGTCTTTCTTGCCTGTTGCCTGGGTTTTTATCTGCTCTCTGGGTCATTTTTCAGTTTTTACTTCCCTATCAGCCTCCTTCATTGCCCTGTCGTTCATGATCACTACTCATTTTCTTTTTGTTCTCTACAGATCCCAACTTCTAAAAATGATAGCGTTGAATCCAAATTTATCTAAATTGTTTTGTTAATGTCACATTCAATATTAAACTGATCATGGGTAAATAAATCATTCTTTCTTTAAAAATACTTAAAAAAAGAAAAAAAACACTATGGTACCAGAATCACATTTGTGAGACCAACCCAGGCTCCACCACTTACTCTGCAAGATTGAAAGCATGTTTGCTAATCTCTCTGAGCTTATTTCTACATCCATCAAAATATGAAGTTCCTAACCTTGCACAATTGTGTTAGGGTTAACGTAAAACACTCTTCATCTGTAAAATGAAACTAATAACCACTTTATGAAGTTCTTGTGACATTTAAATGAGATAATAGATATAAAAGGGCTTAGCACAGGGCCGGGTGTGGAGACTCACACCTGTAATCCTGGCACTTAGGGAAGCCAAAGTGGGTGGATCATTTGAGGTCAGGAGTTCAAGACCAGCTTGGCCAACATGGTGAGACCCTGTCTCTACTAAAAATAAAAAAATTAGCCGGGTGTGGTGGTACACGCCTGTAATCCCAGCTACTCAGGGGGCTGAGATAGGAGAAGTGCTTGAACCTGGGAGGCGGAGGTTGCAGTGAGCTGAGATAGCAGCATTGTACTCCAGCCCGGGCCACAGAGGGAGACTCCATCTCAAAAAACAAAAAAAAAGGGGAGGGGGGTGGTGCTTAGCACAGTGCTTATCATATAGTGATCAATTAATGCTAGATATTTTTATAATAAATTCAAAAATCCATCATTATGAGAGTTAATATCTCTTATTATTAATTATAAATATGGTGACTAACAGAAGGAAAAACATTTCTAGATGTGAAGAATTTCCCAGTTAAAGGGAAACTCAGCTTCTGGTCCAAAAAGACTGTATCTGCATGTATTTCTGAATATTAGAAGTAAACCAATTCAATTTGAAAGGGTAGGTTATACATTGAATTTAAAGTAAAATAAGGGTCAAAGAGTCCCTACAGCAAAATAAGATAAAGGATCACCTCTGATCTTTCTTCTGCTTTTCTCTGGAGCTCTGTTGGCGGATTACTATAGCAACCACCAGAGAAATGACCGCCACTGGGAACAATACCGCAACCACAATGGAGAAGTCTGCAGCAGAGAACAGGGACCCGCTGAGAACTACAGAAACACGCATCTGCACATCACACTAGTCCTTGTTTCTTTACTTTGCACACATTCCAGCGACCCTTTTCTCTAATGAGCATAAATTGCCATAGCCAGTAAAATGAAAATGTATTTTGATCAGGCAATTACATTAATATTTAGATAGAAGAAATATACATGAAATCTATAGGAAACATTTAACATGAAATAAGTTTTAAAAATCATAATATTGAGAATACTTAGAAGGGATAATGTTTGTAACAATTGGAAAATGAGCTGGGAGATTAGAAGAGAATATACAGTAAGGAAGATGGCAAAAAAGAAATGAAACATTTTTGAAAAGCAGTCTTGGAAAAAAACAGAGAAAAAGAAACTAAAACTTTGAAAATACATTCCTGTCAGTAGTAAATAAGAAGCTGAGGTGTGACTAAGAGAACTGATACACAAATAATTGAGTGTTTCACTGATGTTGGTCTACACTGGAATTACAGACAGAAAGGAAGTTATGTGACCTTGAGAATGAGGAAATCCTTTAAACAAATATTCCTGGGCCCTCGTGGTGTTTTTTCTTTTAATGACAAATTTAAATAATGAACATAACTTCAATCTTTTGCTCTCAACTGTTCATTTCTCTTACAATAATTGGAAGCCACAAGAGACTGGGAAGTAAAAGATTGAAGAGTAATGCCAACAGTTACCATTCTCTTTTTACAGAAATCAGCAAACCAATAGCAAGGTGAATATTTGTATAAATGCAAGAAAAGCTCACAAGTTTGAGCACACACACATGCAGATAGAGGTAGACACATCGGAAGCAGAATTCTAGGTAAGACAATGACTTTAGTTCAAATATTCACTACTCTCCACCCTCCACAAGATTCCAATCCAAAAAGTCAAAGGAAAATAAAACATGAAGCATTCTGTTATCATGTAGATATATTCAGAATGAAAAATACACACTTACTTGCACAAATGTCAGGACTGTATTTTCAGAAGAATGACATATTAGCAGAGAAATAAATGGGAATTTGGCAGTACTTTACAAACACACCGAACTTGAAAAGAGCTAACTAAAGTTGGGGCATAAGACAGATGAAAGTATAATAACAGAAGGTTTGCAGGTGAAGATAGAAATCACTGAAGAGTAAGTGCAGCCTCTTCTTGTTTCTGGTAATGGTGGATTAGGAAATTGAGACCAACCTGCCCATTAAAAATATCTTTAAATTTTTTGCAAACAAAAGCTTCCTAAAAGTATAGAAGTACTTAAAAGTTAGATAAAATTACTTTGTAGAGATTAGTGAGTCATCAAGAACCCAGAGAGATGGAAAAGAAAATAATCCTAGGTAGAAGTTCAGAAATGCAGAAAGAAATGAAAGGCAAATGAACCAATAGCAAACCCTGATGTAAACTGTGGACTTGAGGTGATAATGATGTGTCAGTGTAGGTTTATGGAATATTTGTTACCATCAACAAATACTCCACGGGAGTGGGGGATGCTGATGGTGAGGAAAGCTGTTGAGGAGCGGGAGGTGCCGGGTATATGCCAACTATCTGTACTTTCTCTTCAATTTTGCTGTGAACCTAAAACTGCTCTACAAAAGAAAGGTTTTTTTTTGTTTGTTTTTGTTTTTTTGTTTTAAAGCAAATGAAGTGGGAAGTTTCAGGATAATCATTAAAATATAAAAGAAATGCATAACATCCAAGTTAATAAAATAATAGAATCAATAAGTATAAGAAAGGAGAGAAAAGGGAATATAAACAGGAAAGACAAATAGAAACTATATGATTGTGGATTTATACCCAAGTGTATCAGTAATTACATTTAATTTAAAGGGACTATGTACCTCAGTTAAAGAAACAAAAACCAAAGATGTGAGTACTACTAAAAAATATATGTGCATGCTTTCTTTAATAAAACAAAGACAGATTTAAAACATGATTCAGAAAGGATAAAGATAAAAATATGGAAAAATGTTACTCCAGTGCAAATACAGAACAAAAGAAATATGTTACAGCTCTATGGTCTCCAGGAACTGTAGATTCTCAAAGGTAAGACGTGTACTAGATAGACACAGAACCATTTCATAATGATACGCTGTTCATTAATTTGGAAGATGCAACACCCTAAACTTGTATGTACATAATAATATGCTCTCAAAGTATAAAAGTGTTGATAGAGCCAGAAGTAGTAATCAAATTCACAATTATAGTGGGAGTATTTTAACACTCCTAGCACAGTAATTGGTAGAACAAACAAATAATGTTAGGATTAGTTTATATATTAGACAATTAATAAACTTTATACATAATATCTGGAGAATACTACAGAACACATGTATGAAAAAAAAACAGTCCAATTATCACCCATGAATATAAACTAAGAGCAAAAAAATACAAATTCTTCCAGAGAATATAAATGAACACTCTCCAATACACTTTATGTGACTAGCATAACATTGATACCAAAATTCAGCAATTTTCTCCATATGAAAATATCACAGTCCGATATCACCCAAGAGTATAAAATAAGAGTAAACATCCTTCAATATATAAAAAAGATACTATTTCTAAGTTAGGCTTATTCAAAGGTTGCAAAGTTAGATAAATGTTCACAAACCAATTGATTTGACAGTACTAATAAAGGGGAAAACATTTTAATAAATAAGGAAGTATTTGGTAGAATTCTTAGAAACTTGAAAGAGAACTAGTGGACTTCCTTAATCCAATCACTAGAATGGATGATCTTGAAAGCATAAGGTAGAGAAAAAGAAGAAAATGAGCATAGAAAATTTCATACATACAAACTTTAAAGACTTGGTGATAATGATGTGTCTGGGTATGTTTATGGACGTAACAAATGTACCTCTCTGGTGACAGATGTTGATAGTGAGGGAAGCTGTGTTTCCTGTGTTTACAAACTTTATATACATGGAATTATATAACCAAAAGTTGTTGTTTAAGGATGTGTATTTAGGAAACAAAACTACAAAGAAAAGTAACAAAATGATTATGATCAAAGACAGATGAATGGCCAACCCTTAGAGAAAGAGGGGAGTTCAGACTGAAAAGAGGCAGGAAAGCAGATGTCTGGGTCTATTTCTTGGCCCTTATTATATTACATGAATGTTCATTTTGTAATCATCAGGTTTGCCTTTATATTTACATGTTTATTATATTTTACAAACAAAAAGATGGTGTTAACAATAATCTTGAAAGCCAATGGCTGTGTATGGTCATGTTGTAGGGCAGTGCTCTTAACCTTTGTTATGCTGCAAATCATTTTGGCAATCTGATAAAGTCTATAAACCCCTTTTCTGAGTGTTTCTAAATTCATTCATAAAAGGCATAAGATTTAAAGGAAGCTATTGAGGGTGGGATACAGTCGTCAAAATATTATAAAACAATTCATGATATAGTAAAGTATGTGTTTATTAACCTCTGAAATAATAAGTTCTAACAGTGGGTCAGTAACTACCAAAATTTCAAACAAATGATACTCATGTGGTAATTGGAGATACATCCAACAACTGCAATGAGATATTGAAGTATTTGTAATTTATATTGGTGACAAAGTCATGGAATATTGCTAATAGTATTATGGTTTATAAGCCATACATTCGCATAATTGTAGAAAATTCTAAACTTTAGAATTGAATGAAAATAAAAATGTAATTTTTTCCCATTCAAGTTTAGATTTAGGACCCCAGCTATAGTAAAAATTGTTATCCTCTAGGGTCTGTCTTCTTGGTGCAAGGACACTTCTGAACTAGGAAATGTTCCTCAGTCTATCTGAGGTTTTTCTTGACGGTTAGATAGGAAATAACACTGAAAGGGCACCGAACCCCCCACTAACACAATGCCCTGAAAAAAAAACAAGGCTTGGGGGATAAAGTTGAATTCTGATACAGTGGTTTCAACAAACAGTAAGTTGAGACAAGCTTCCACTGTATGTATTTTGAACTTCTCCAGCTACCTCCTCATCCTGCTAAAATACAAATTTCATGTAATATACTGTAAATTTGTATCACTAGTCCTCCAAGTTAAAAATTTTGAGAAATACTTTTTAACAGTGCTTGTCAGAATTAATTCAACCTTATTGGATTATAACTAAAGAAGAAAAAGCATCAGTCGAATCAAAAGATTAGGTATAAAATAACACATAGAAGTAGAAGTATACATAAAATGTATACTTTCAGAAAAAGAATATAAGGAATCAGATTTGGGGTACTCTTAATGCAATTAAAATATAGACTGCAAAAAAACTAGTTATGAAACAGAAAACCAACTGGGATAAAAAAATCTTTCAGAGAGACATAAAAACGCTACTGAATACTTTTAAATGTCATTATGAGTAACAAGAGAATTAACATTGCTAAAAAGTTTATATTATGATACAGAGAATAATCTTGAAAAACTTTCCCAGAATTAACAAGAAAAATGACCCAATATGGAATATAATATGGAGATTACACAGTAGAGATATTTTGTATAAATAATTTACATTTCTGATTCAGAAACCAGAAAACTGAAACAAAATAAATTTTAAAACCTAAAACAATAGAAATATTTCTTAAACTGAAGAAAAAAACCAAATCCCAGTTTGAAAAAACTCACTAGGTAACATGATAATGGAAAGACAACATCACCCAGGAATAAAATAATGATTTGTTTTGATTAAGTGGTAATTCTAAAAGCATTTAAGCCAAAACAAACCTAACGACTTTTTAAAACAATGTTATTTAACATCAACAAAAAATCAGGCTTTTTTTTTTGACATTAAATATAAGCATCTACTTTAATAGTCATGAATGCAAAATTGTGACTTAAAAAATAAAATTCAATCAAACCTGCTATGCATGCTATGATATAGAATATTAAAATATTAAAAATATTTGGCAACAGAAATACATTCTCATAAACACAACTTAGAAAGTTTTATGTGGATGCATTGTTATAATACGAAGAAATTACTCATAGAGGTGACTTAGCAAATCAATAGATATATCAAAATAAAGCAGTCAAGAAAGTCATAGTTCAAAAGGATTTTTAGTGAGCATTGAAACCATTAAAGAGTTTTCTAATTAAAATAGTTGATTGTGTTCATGCCCCTTTCAAAATACATGACAAATACATGTGTATATAATAAAATCATAGGACATGAGAAAAAATAATTTTAAAAATCTTAAAGATAGGAAGTTAAGGGATTCATGTGGATGGAAACAGAACAAATATAGCCTAAAAATCAGAAATAAATGTTCTGTCTTGGAAAGTCTAACAATCTGAATTTGGGACAGATATCTCACTCAGGTCTACCTCATCTCCTGTGTATATAGAACAAGTTGAGCTCATCACCTGAGATCAAAATCCTAAGAATTTCTGTTTCTGCCAACAGAGGATACAGGAACACCAAAAGGAGGATAAAGGCTTCCTCTAGATACGTACACTATATATCAGACAGAGAAGGGAGGGTCAAGGAGAAGATGATGAGGAAAAGCAGCTCTCTCAGGAAATGAGCTCCCTCCTCAGGGTAAAATGTTCCTCATCATAACAACTGGAGGTGGGTCCCCACTCTGGCTCCTTCCCACACTGAAGAGCTATAGGCAGACCTACCTACCTGCCTATAGAGCCCCCAGCCAGATTCCCCCATCAAGAGAAATATCAGTAGGTACAACAACACACACAAATGCAGAGAAATCCCATGTGAACTAATCCAGCTCTACCAATTCCACATTCAACTAAGGATCGCATAACCTGAAGAAAAGTAGTACAACAGAATACAAGTGACGTGGTGATAGAACAGAACAAACCAACTCAAAAGAAACAGATAATTTAAAGAATAGAACTGAATGTACAAAAATAATCAGTCATATTCTTAGTTTTATGAGGATATTACATTTTTCCATTAAGTTGAGGATTCTATGAAAATGGAAGAGTCCTAAAGTAAGAAAATTTGTGAAATTAAAATAACATTACAAATATAAATGTTGCAGAAATTTTTTTGCATGTGCAGTGAAAACAAAGACGTGGAAAATATAATTAAAATGTGTTAAGGAGATTTGGGGGATAAATATTGTGGATTCAATGTCTACAGAACAGAAATCTCAAGAAAAGAGAAAAGGCAATGAAATCTCATGTAATACAAAATAAAGGCTTGGAAGAGGAGAGCAATTTTCTCAGGTTAGATGTGTAATGTTACCTACGGAAGACCACTGAGGAGTCATCGCAGTCAGGAGGGCTCCATCCTTCCTCACATTGACACTGGAGCTCATGGTCACACACCTAGGGTAGCAATGATCCTGTTACTGTCCCTGCTAGACTGACCACAAACTCAAATCCCTAATCATGCCGAAAAAGAAATAACCCCAATCTCCAGGCTTCCATCTATCTACATAAAGTATGAATGAATGAGAGGCATTTCATGAATGATTCTCAGAAGAAATTTCTCCTTGAACCATGCTACTGAAGGCTTGGATAAACTTAGTAATTCTCATCATTTAATGCTGAATACATTCCTTTAGCTTTCTTATGACTGACCTAGAATGTCATAAGATTCAGAGAGCTTAGGGAAACATATTTGCAGAACTTACAGCATGTCCTTTGCATTTAGATGAGCAATTGGTTGATTTGTAGGCTTTCTCAATATCCACACATTCTGCATTAATGCAAACCTGAAAGTGATGTAGAAAACATTTGAAGCTTCATCCTCTCTGCATGTAGATGAGAAAGTTGAGGTCTGTGTGAGGAAGCTAGCAGATATTGTTTAAGGTGGCTCTGCCAGGAGGCTGGTGCAGAGGAAGGGAAATAGAGATGGGCTCTGTTGCTTACATTATCCTCTTAAACCAACCCAAAAACGTTGATAAAATCATCTAAGCATTTATGTATTTTTAATAAATCCAAACAGTTCTATATTCCAGAAGCAATGACTATGCAAGAAGTTCAGGGATAAGCAATAATGAGATGATCTTAATACCAGGGAACCCTGAAACACCTCAATTCTGCCCTGGTCCCAGTACCTTCCTCCCTTAAGACCCAAGCACCGCAACACTCATGCCAGGTCATGTGAAAATGTCTCAATGTCTTTAAAGTCTTCAGCACTAGATAATATAAGGAAATTAGTATCTGAAACCTGGAAAACCCAATTAAAGATTATATTTTATGTAAAATTCCTTGTGCTTGATGCTGGCATATATTTCAGGAAAAATTGGGGTAAGGAAGAAATTTAAATATTGTGGGTACTTCTTATAGGGAAGGCCTAATATTTTAATGTCAATAAACTTTGCTAAATTTTTATTTTCAGCTCCAAGGGCTCAGAGACCACATCAATCTCATTCACTTTTTTATATTTACTTTTTAAAACTGTATGAGCAATACCCACACTGAACCACTAAGATAATTTTGGACTCACCATTGAATAAATTTACCTTTGAATAGCGAAATCAGTTTAAGTAAATAAGATAGTGTTTTTAGGACTGGCTTTACCACAGTGAAAAATCAGGGGAATTCTTTGGTCATGTGGATATCTTAGTGAGATAAATAGGGTAATTCTAATCTCTTAGGAGAGACAAACCTCCTCATTGTCAAAGTTCGTGAGTTGGTTGGCCCTGGCTAAACAGTACTTGTACTTGAGATAAGTTCATTATATTATTAATGATATACAGGTCTGTTAAATGAAGCCCAGTATCACATACACTGGCACTTTCAGTGAGTTTTCAGACTTTGTCATGAAAGTTAAACGGATGCTACCATGTGTTATCCACATGACAATATGATACTCTTCTTGAAATCATGGCTATGAGAGTCAATTTCCAAATTTCACCATAGGGTTTGAGAATGTTAATGTTGATGTGCTTATTCCTGCTATTTACTAGGTTCCGCACCATTTTCATTTCTGTGTTCCAAATTCAAACTCTGTGGGTTCTATTAAGGCAAGGTGAACCCCAAAATTGGGAAACAAGGCACGTAGTGAATAACCAAGGGGCAAAACAACAAAACATATCAAAGTAAGAAACACTATTTTGAGTGAAAGCCACAATGTCTACTTACCTTGTTATGGCCACATTTAGTTCCATTGGCCACCATGCCTATTTCTTCACTTGTGTCTTCAGGATCAAATGTTTTACATGTCAGGAAAGTCACTATCCGTCCTTTCCAGGGCAAATTATCCGACCCACCTTGACAGAACAACTTCCCACACATGGTGTCACTGAGGAAAAAGCCAAAATTTATTGCAGGATTCAAACTGCAGTTTTATATAAATGCAAATCAGCTCTAGGACTATGGATACTTAACCGATGTATTTTTCCCTGTAGCTGAGACTTTTAGTTGTACTTTACACTCATTTTCCCTTATTTCTCAGTAACAGATGCCTGAACATTAGCACAATACATTATTGCTCAAATAAACAGCATTACCCAGATGCCTGTACACCTAATTTTTGCCAGTTGCCTAACTGCTAGCCCATGAGAAGAAAACAATCTTAAGCACAAATTCTAGAAGGTGGCCTTAAATGAAGAATTATCTTCTGTTTCTCAACATTTTCTCATTTTTGCTGATTGGAGTATGATATCTGGAGAAGCCATCACAGGCCTAGAGTAACACTTGGAAATGAAGGTCATGTGGATGATGGAGCCTAGAGATAAAACATGGGTTCCTAACATCATGGAGGCATCTGATACATCAATTTCTATCTTGTTTCAGATAGTTTACTCATTTATTTGTACAACTGGCTGCAGAATAATTCCACCAAAAGAAAGCCCACATCTCCACTATAATTCTGTCAGAACAAAGCTGAGCTTCCCTTGACACTGCAAGACATCAAGTGGAGTTACTAAAAGAACTATCTCCCTGAAGGTGCAGATTAAACTGCTCAACACTCGATCAAGCCATTCATTTACTGCCCAACGGGACTAAAAGACAATAATATTGAAGTCAATTGCTTTATGCAAAATTCAGAAGAGGGCTGTGAAAAAGTATCCTGAAAGTGATGGCATCAGATTTTTTGATATCTCTTGGCTGTAGAAAACATGTTTGAGGAAGGGAGAAAGGCAAATATTCTCTCTAAACGCAACAGTGTGTTTTTCTTGAATCATTTAGGTAATGCCATAAAGGATGGCTTTAGAGCACAGGGAATTTCAGGCTAACTTTACACTATAGCCAATGACTACTGTGAAGTGACTAGGATGGCAGTTTGTGGGGTGAAGGAGCTGCTTGAGCCACTAGCTGCAGAAACTGATGCTCACGCAGAGAGTTATATGGGACAATGGTGTGTGCAGAGGAAAGATGGCGAGGCCCACTCTCTTCCCATTCACCACCTACAGTTGCTCTTCCTCTGGCCCTCACATACTGCCTTTTACATAATTTCCTCTTCTGAATCTGCCCTGATTTCCTATAGAGAAGAGACCACAAGACCACAGAAAATGATTCTTCTCTAGGAACAGATTCTCCCAAGAGATAACTCTATATCCAAAGCATAGTTTGGTAATATCTGTCATTCAGCAAATTCATGTCCAATAGACAAATTTTGGGAAATGTTGATCTTGTGCAATCTCTTGTTATAAATTACTCTGCATGTGTCAAATTTGGAGCAGGTACAAAGAGTTTATTATAATTGAATTTTAAAAGCCACCTTAAAATTGCCGAATTAAAAATAAACCATAGAAAAATCTCACGTTCATCTGGTGTGCTATTCTATAGTGTTTTCCCAGATAATCAGTACTAAAACTAACAAACTCTTCACATGAATTGTCAATAAGAAAATATTTTCTTATTGTATTTTTTCTTTACGTAATTCTACTGAAAATTTAAAACTGTTCAAGCACTGCATCTGTTATTCCTCTGGGGAGATAAATATTTCTACTCTGAATCTTACAAGGAAAAACGTGACATTGAGAAAGCATCTGATTTATACTGGGAAATCCCTGGACAAATTTCCAACCAGACCCATTCATTGTTGCCTGTTCCATCATCAACCATTCAGTCTACCCAACAATGACTGTGTTTGGTGTCATCTGAAGCATCCACCATGATATACTTGGAGAAAGAAGCCATTTCTCATTTCTTTTCAGACTCAGTACCTAGCCCACATCATGGCACATAGTAGTTACTCAATAAATGTCAAATGATTGATGGCCAAATGCGCTTTCCCTTTAACTGGAATAAATTAGAATGTGCAGCTGGAAGTGCACCATTGCTCTAGTCTGTGAAGCAGGAAGGTTCGGACAAGGCCACTTACTTTGCTTTGCAGGGAATGAGTGTGTCGTCCACTCTGCGACAGTACCCGTACTTTGACCCACCTTCATTCCTGTTGTAACATGACTGATCTGCAACCTCAGTTCCTGGGACCAGGATCAGTCAGTAGGGAAAAGAAAATCGATTTTTGAGGTTCAAGAGATATTTGAAAAGAAAAGAGATTTTTAAAATTCAGTGCTGGCAAGGGATTTATAAAATATAAAACAAGCAAGAAAAAAAATACTATTTTAGCATAATTCCATTGACCACTCCTAGAAACATGGGTGTAGTAATTTGGTATCAAATGAGCTGGCTGGAACTACAAATAATCTTTTAAGTAATCTGTTACTCCACAACAAACTCCTACTATATGCCAGGTACAAAAATAGGCATCACATATTTCATATCTCAGGTAATCTTCCTCAGATCTCTATCAGACAAAACACATTAGTTAAGAGCTCAGGCTTTAAGCAAGACTGAGTAATTGCATGAACATGGGCAAATGTCTTAACCCCTGAGTTTTCTCATCTGTAAAATGGTATAGAATTTATACGTGAATATATTTAATATATTTACACATATATAAAATGTATATATATACATTACATATACATATACATTACCTACCTCAGAGGTGTTTTGAAGATTAAATCACTTAATACAGGTGAGTCACTGAGAATAGAGCCTGATCAGCAGTACATGGTTGACAAATACTAGCCATGCCTATTGCCATTCTCAATTTATTAATAAGGAAACAGAATCCTGTCGAGTCACAGAGACCTATGTTCCTTCTTGGTGCTGAGGTGCCCCCTCTTCAATAAAAATAAGTAATTCTGTCTTAAACGTTTGGAACTTTTGAGTCTAGCCTTTGACAAACAGCAAACTAAGTTAAAATAAGCAGACACCTATAAAGATACTGAATTGTTTTTAAGAAATACTTTTAAACCTACTATGATGACTTGTAAACTCAAAACATTTTAAATGAATTTCGTGTTTCAGTGTGCAAGATAAAATGAGCTTTGTTAACTTTTTTATTATTTGTATCTTAGTAAAATGTATTCATTTTAATATCTACTGTGTAGATATTTACACAATATCTACACAGAAGAATCATTAGTTATGAACAATCATGGAAAAGCATTAAATTCCTAATCTGAGACTTCAAAGTTATTGCTGCTAATATTGTAGAATATATCATTCATATATCTGGCACCATGCTGTTTTATAACTTCTTGCCAATTAACAATATAGCTGTCCTTTCCCCAGGCATTAAATTTTCTAAAGCATCACAGCTGCAAGAATTGTATTGAAATAATACATTTTATTTAATCCGTATATTTTGGATTTTGAGATGTTTTTCGATTACTCACTATCATTAAAAGTGCTGGCTGAAAAATCGTCGTAAATATTTGAGTGCAATTGCTAGGAGAAAGAGTAAAAACAATTATTTTTAGATTTTGTGCATGCATTTTTCTCTCAGTAAAGATGGTGCTAATTCATATATTTACCAGCAGTGTACGAGGGGAGTTGTTTGGTTATGTTTTCACTGACACTGAACATTAACATCTGTAGCACACTTTTGCCAATTAGCAAATGTAGAAGATTAACTTGTTTTCATTTAGGTTTTGTATATTGCTAATGAGTTAAAATGGTTTTAATTTTATGGGACATTTGTATTTCTTCTTCATGATGAATTGCCTACTCATGCCTTAGCCACATTTTCAATACTTGGAACTACAATTGATTTGTGGGAATGATTTGATGCCAAAAAGAATGATTTTTAAATTACTTACAAAGTTGCAAGACTTTTCAAACTTCCCAGATTAATTTAAAACAAATGGGTAATCCTCTGTGAATTATAAAATTTGGAATTTTATTTAGGCAAATTGTTTTCCCTGGCCTTTTATAATGGCTGTATTTAAAAGTATGACTTAAGAGGTCTACTCCATTTCATGATCAGATAAATACATTCAATATTAATTCAATAGACAATTTTGAGCTTTTTACTAAAGCCAGGTACTGTGCTGGGAGGCACTGGGAATACAACTGTGAACAACGTAGACAATGTCCCTGTTCCAGGAAGTTTACAGATTTGCTGAGGAGACTAATCGTAAAGTCCGAAAAAGGAGGGTAACAGTTAATATTGTTTGCAGTTAATATTTACTACAAGATAAAAAAGGCAAAGCTCAGAACTTCACCTCTGTGCTAAAGATTTTTTTTCTCCTGGTTTTTGCCATATACTGAAGTTAGCCAAGGAAACATGAGCCTTTTAACCAACAGTCAATTTTGTTTCCACCTTTTTAACCTTGCACATCCATGAACTGGAGGCAGGATTGCTGAGGCCTGGTTCCGGGACACCAGTGAGCTTGCTGACGTACTAACGGCATTGAGCTTTGCTCCTCAAATTGTGTCTCAACCGACTGTAGCCAAAGACAGAAGTTTACAGGGAGGTTTTTCTAGGATCTTGTCTATTTATTTCCCAGGTTTCTTGTTTTCACAGTGCATTGTAAGTCAGGAATTTTTGTTGATTTTCTCAATCTTGTTTTAGCTGTATTTTCAAGAATTACGAAAAGTTTCTGGTATGCAATGACCCCTTTCAAATAATTTTAGGAATATGTAGATTTTCTCTATTTTAATAAATACTGTTTCAGTCATTTAAGTAGGAATCTGAAACTGTATTAGGAAGGGGGTATGGCAATTAAATACATGTACACAATACACATCATATCCAGAAAGTCCAAATAACTGGTTTTTAAAAACTTGCTGTTTTCAACTTACATTTTGTATCCTCTGACCAACATCTCCCCACCTCCTCCCTGTCACCCCCTGGAAACCAGCCTTCTACTTTCTACTTCTATGCATTCAACTTTTTTAGATTTCACATATAAGCTAGATCACTTATATGATCTAAAATTGCCTTTCTAATAAAGTTATTTAATACTATATAAATTGCTGTTTAAATTTTCAGATATCTCTCTAATCTTTTATTTTTCCAAGTTTTCTTCTTGGTGAAATTAGAGAATATGGTCTCTAACATTTTGGTGTTATGGACAAAGTGACCATTTAAGAACTTCCACTTTTCTGTATTGCCTTTCTGCATTTCCAGAGTTCTTCTTTTCCTTTTTCCACCTTTCCTTATTTCTGTCCCATCCCCCAGTGCTTCTGCCACACCTGTGCGCGCACGCGTGCGCGCACACACACACACACACAGAGATTTCCAAGGGTTCATGATCTTAGTTTGGGTTGCCAGATTTAAAAAAAAAAAAAAAAAAAGACACCCAGTTTAATTTGAATTTCAGATACGCAAATAATTTATTTTAGTAGGAGCACACCTGAAATACTCTATGGAATAAACTGATGCTAAGACAAGCTTGGTTGTTAATTTGACGTTAAAATTTAACTGGTCCATCCTTATTTTTATTCGCTAAATCTAGCAACCCTAAAACCAACCTCAAATCTTAAAACCTTTCCATGATTTTGAGTTCGAAGTTTCTAAGAAGGATAGGGCAGAATGGTCCTTTGGCCATGGTTAAACACTGTCATCTGAAATTTGTTTTCCTTCACACATGCAAAAAAAGAGATTTGTCTTCCTACCTGGTCCCCACAGCTCAGTGCACTGCTCCTGCAGCGTGGGGCACGCCCCCATCAAGCAGTAGCCCTTCCCGTGATGGCAAGGGAAGCCATTGACACGGAATCTATCATCAGGACAATTACCAGATTTACCGTCACACATCTCAGGCAGGTCACACTCATCTTTTGCTGGTCTGCACACCATCCCAGCCTTTTTAAACTGTAGAAAAACAAAAATAGACGGCTTTTTGTTTTCCCTACCTGCTTTACCCTGATACCTCAAATTAACACAAAGATTTTTCCATTTGGACTTTTTGGGCATAGTAGTTTGAGGTGTCATTTCGCTGAAGCTTACATTGTTATTATAAATTAAAGTCATCATCTGATATATCACTTCTATTAATATTGCTTAATGCCCTAAGATTTTAAGCAATCAATATTTCTGAATTTGTACCAAAAACACCAAAGAAACATAATGTAGAAAAGTACAGGGAAAAAAAAAACCAGGCACCAACTTAGATATAAGGAAGGGAGTTATTTCTCCCTTGGTTGAATGCATCTCTATCAGGAACTCCAAGGAGATTTAAATCTGCAACTTCAGAGATGTACTAGTGAACTGGGTCTTGGGTATTCAAGGAGATAAGTTTACAAACCACCAGATCAGCAGACTCAGACTTTCCCAGGCCTCGAGTTTCCTAATCCTTAATTCCTTTTATTGTAAGTTCAGCTGGTTCCTTTCAACTCACTTCTTTCATAGAATGACTTATCATGAGGGAGAAATAACCAAATATTCCCTTGATATATTAACTCCATTGTAATCAGATACTGCAAATCTTACTCTTATTTGCTCAGAGAAATGTTAGTGAAACATTCCGCCATCCCTGCAAAACTGAGAAAGCATGTATGTTTGTTTGTTTGTTTTTTCCTTTCTAACAGGAGCAGATTTTTTACTGCATTAAATAACTTTGAATATCTTAATGCCAGTGATGGGATCAAATCCAAATTTCAATGCAAGCATGTGAGATCCTCCAAATTCAACCCATGGCTCCAGCCAGACCATTCCTTACCAGATACCAGACAAACCATGCTTGTATCTCCTCTTATGTCTTTGCTGTTTCTGTGTCCTCATTTGGAAATTCTTTTTTTGTTGTTGTTGTTTTATGTCTAAATCTCTTTTGTCCAAAATACTTTAAGTCCAGTTGAAAGCCCCTTTCCCACCGAGTCTCCTCTGACATCTTCAATACAAATTGTTGCTCCTGTTTTCATGTGCTTGGGAAGAGCCTTGAATTCAGATTTAGAGGATAGGAATTTGAATCTTGGCTCTGTGCGTGTCTGAGTGCTGAACTCTAGAAAATGGATTTAATCTCTCTGAAAATCCTTGTCCCCATCCAACATCTACTTTACAAGGCCATTGTGAAAATCAAGTGAGACTGTACAAAAAAGTTTAATATATCATTATGCTATCTACATGGCCATTGAAGCACACATTATATTTTCATATGTTTCATATATGTATATCATTGCTCTAAATAAATAGTAAGAAACTGGATACTTTTTTATGTACCATAATCTAACAAACAGCATTTACTAAACACTCTTTGAGTACTGCCTAAGTTCTCAAATTTACTTCCTTTTGGACTTCTTTCCTCTCTCTCCAACATTAAAAACAAAATTACACCAAGCATTCCTTATAACCTGGCATGCCATCTACACATCCATGCTGCAGTTACAGATCATTTAAAATGTATAAAATTCTGTGCTAGGTGAAAATGAATCAGTCTTCCGGCCTTAGGAGTCAATCTAACTATGGAAACAAACACACCCTCACAATACAAAAGGATATGCAACAATAGAAAGTTAAATACTAAACTTGAAGGACAATTCAGAAAAGCACCCCAGAGAATATGACATGTCTTATTTAGAAGAATTTCACCCTGAAGTGGCTTCAAAGATTGAAGACAGGGACACCTCCACACTACTCAGAATAAAACTTCTTCCATCACACACATTGTTAACGGGAGATACAATCAGTTTTGTGAGATTTGACCTGAGAAAGCCATGAAGCATGAGAAACAGCAGCAGGTAGGAGTAACTAGCTGTGGCTTTGGAGATGGTCACACTTGGGGTTATCCCACTCAACAGTGGCCATGTTTGTTTTTACATTTTTTTTGTTGTCTATATTTAAGGTGTACATGATGTTTTAACATATATATACATAGTGAAGTGCTTACTACATATGTATACCTACTATGTGCCCACAAAACTTTAAAAAGAATTTTAGAAAGAAATGATTACTACAGTCGAACAAATTGATGTATTGGTCTCTTACATAGGTGTGGGTGTGGGTGTGTGTGTCTGTGTGGTGAGAACACTTAAAATCTACTCTGTTAGCAAATTATTAATATACAACATAGTCACGTTGTACCTGTACCTATAGTCATGTTGTACATTACGTCTTTAACCTTACTCATGCTAAATAACTATAACTTTGTCCCTTTTGACCAACATCTCCCCATTTCCCAAGCCTCCTTGCCCTTGGTAAACACCATTCTACTATGCATGTATTCAACATTTTTGGATTCCACATATGAGATCAGTATGCAGTGTTTGTCTTTTTATGCTGGCTTATTTCACTTAGCATAATGTTCTCAGGTTTATCCAGGCTGTAACAAATAGTGGCCATATTATTTTGGTCATTTTCTACTCTGCATTTTATTCTCAAAAACAAAATGAAGTAATATCTCCTATGAAGGATCATTGGAAGATTCAATAGGCCATGTATGTAGAACACTGTGTAAGTGCTTCATAAATAGCAAATATATCATTTTATACAAAGAAAAATATTACATTGCTTGTTTTGGTTAACATAATCACTGAGATGTTAATGTACAAAAAATGTAATAATTATTAAAATAGAATAAAATAATCTTACTTGGCATTTTTCACAACATTCTCCTGATGTACATTGAAAACCTGCTTTGATTTTACATGTCTTAGCATCACAGCAAATATTGGTACATTCCTAAGAAATATGAGAAACAAATGTAAATACAACATTACTTTTTGGTCCCAGTTCAGCACAATTTGTAACATAATACAGTCATCAGGCATATGTTACTTTCATGGAGTCTAAATATGACTTTTTCAAAAATAAAGATAAAAAAATTAGAAACCCTGAAATTCTGGAGCAACTGATGGCTTGTGGTTTATCTGAATTCCACTTATGTCATTTTTCTATTAACTAGTTTCCTCAGTCTCCAATAATACTAAGGAAAGATTTATTCTTTTTGGTAAAACATGAAGAAAAAACACAGCTCTTAAAATAAGATTTGTCTAGTTATAGAATATAATTCCTTCAACTCATCAGTTATGTACATATCTAGCAGTAGATCCAATTGCTAGGATATCTACTGAAAAGCTCAAGATATAGCTCTTTATCAAACTTTAATTCAACTGTGCTCGATGCAAATACTTTGTCTTAGTCTCTCTACTTTGTGTCAGAATCCTACCTGCAAAAGGTATTGGAGAAACTCCTACCTCAAAACTCTTCCCTGCAGCTGTCTAGATTCCCATAGGAGATTGAGAGTTTTAGAGTTACAATATTTTAGTGTTAAAACTCTGGCCCTTAGTTCAAATATAGGCATCAACCAGGACAGACTACTTTTTCTCATAGATTGAATAAATACGTAATTAAATATATAATCATATTTCAAAGTTACTGAAAGCCAATACTCTGAAGGCTTGATGCATTACTTATGTTAAGCACTAATAACATGGAAGCAGAGGTCCCATTCAAAATCCCAGCTGCCCTGTGAAGAAGGTTAGCACAGAACTTCTGATGGCAATAACTCCTGAGTCCCAAAGCAGTAAGGGATGCACCAGATCCCTGTGCTGGGTGGTCTTGTGTTTCAGAGCTGAAAACAGATACATTTGATATCAGTTCTTGGCTCCTCCATTTGCCAGCCCAGTGACCTTGAACCAGCAAGCTCTTTGTACTCTGAGCACTCATAGTGCTCTGTCTAAAGTAATACTGGATAAGTCATAGTCACGTAGGGAACTTTAAGTATTTCATTTAGAAAGGGAGGGAGGAGGACACAAAGCCCAAGTTAGTAAATAGTACTTAAAAAAAGGAATGAGGATAGAACCCTGAGAGAGAAAATAGTAAGGTCTGTTCAGCAGTTCAGGGTTCGTTGTCAGAAAGATTTTCCTGGAAAATACCTACAAATAGACATACCCAAAATTACCCAAAAAACCTACAATGTTATAGTGGGCCACACATTATTTTATAGTTTATCTTCTTAGCAATTGAGAAACAACCATATCCTTTTAGAAAGTGATTGGCCGTACCTCAGATGTCCCACAGTCACAGTCCTCTCCCATTTCCACCATCTGGTTCCCACAAATTGGAGTGGATATGATATCTGTAGGCAATGGAGCATTAAAGAGGCAATTTGATAATTTATCTTCAAAAAACTTGTCATAGCTGACATGGCTGCAGGAACTGAAGTCTGTGGGTATATAGAAGCTGTGAAGATAAGGAAAGAAAAACTGGAATATAGTCATGCTTAAAATGTGGGAAGCAGTATCTGACATTAGGCACAATTACACCCACAGCCTGCCCCAAAAGATAAAATCCAATCCACTGACTAACTTCCAGATCGTGAGCTCATTTGCATGCCTGAAGTAACCTACCTGGGTGGACACAAACACCTCCAATTTCATGAGAAAATATAGTCATATTTCAAAGTATAGCATCCAGGCCACTTTAATAAAACAAATACATCTCTGACTTCTCCAGATAATCTTAGATCATTTGGGTGTTGTAAAGAGACCTAAAGGTACCAAAATATGTATTTACATGTCTCAGAATTCACTTTCCTTTAGAGGAATTCCTACTGATAGGATCTCTTCATTATACAGATAAAGATGAGGTTTAAAACTGCTGTAATAGAGGGGAGAGGTAACGTAAGCTCTGTAACTGGCATGCAGCTATATGCTGTTTCGTGCAGGGGCTTTGGAGAATGACCCTAGCTTGAGTGGGCTGAGGGAGGAAATGAAAATAGAAAAGAGGAAATAGAGTTTATAGAGTGAGTTGTATGTATAGAAAAGAGGACATGAATATATAAAAAAGATGGTGAGTTTTTTTTTTTTTTGTTTTTTTTTTTTTAGCAAACTATCACAAGAACAGAAAACCAAACACCGCATGTTCTCACTCATAGGTGGGAACTGAACAATGAGATCACTTGGACTCGGGAAGGGGGACATCACACACCGGGGCCTATCATGGGGAGGGGGGAGGGGGGAGGGATTGCACTGGGAGTTATACCTGATGTAGATGGTGAGATTTTAAAAGATAAGATTGCCTAAAAATTTTGCCTAACTCAGGGTAGGAATGTGTGATGTCTTTTCATAGACTGTCCTCATTGTCCTATGAGCAGTTTCTTCTTTAATTAGAGTTTTATTCTAGAACTCTTTTCTGACCACCATCTATTCTGAATTCATGGAAAATCTGATAAATGCTAATGATTTTTCTGAAGCCAGGTCTTGTACAGATGAGGATAAAATGATGAATTGTCCCAACAGCAAAGAGACAATATGTTTAAATTATGTCTGAGTTATTAAAAAATATTACATATAGATGAGGTGGCTTCGCACAAATGCACATTTATTTAATGACTCAAAAACTTGAACACGTTGTTGAAGATGACCTAAAGTAGTACAGCCCATGGTGGATCAAAACCAGGGCTACATAGCATGTCCCCAGAGCCCAGATGAGCCTCACCTCAGTGCTTTGTCCATCACACATATTGTAGAAGGACACTTGCAAGAATAGTTGTCATGAAACATTCCAAAGTTGTGACCCATTTCATGTGCCATTGTCCCTGCAACTCTAAGAAGATTGTCACTATGGTCCTAAGGGTGTGAAAGAAGAAAAGATTCTCTGATTTTCGACTGAAATTATACTTCACTCGCCATCTCTCTCTCTCTCTCTCTCTTTCTCTCTCTCTCACACACACACACACACACACACACACACGGTACTAAATGGAACTGAATGCCCATCACAGCATGTATGGTCTGCCCTTTGCTCTTTGAGTAGGTTCCTAGAACGAAGGAAGTTGTTCCAGTTTTCCTTCCAAGAAAGATGGCAAATTTTCATCAACAATAAGAAATAAGAACTTCTTAAAAGTGATATATCTCCCTTACCTTTGGCTTGCCTTTTAGAAGTCTTCGATGCATTTGGCCATTAGGGATCTAAAATTGTTTGTCAGCCTAGCACTTTAGCTCTATTTGTATCTTTCTCAATTCCATAATTGCCAGGAGTAGACATCAGTCATTTAAAAACTTGCCCATTGCATGAAATCAGCCTATAGCCAACTTGATCACCAGATTGTTTCTGGTTTGAGGTGCTTGGACTCAACTCCAAGCTTGCAGATAAATTAGAGCTTGCAGCTATAAATTATCCAGGAGCAATGAAACAATGCAGAAGAATTATTGCAGGGTAAAATGTCCTATTGAGGAGACAAGAATCTGCCAGTAACATCCACCTACAGAAGTCTGATTCTCTTATCTACTTCATATCAAATAACTAAATGTAAAGTTTGATGAGGAACAGTACAAGAGTGGCAGACAAGGAACAGCTGCGTAAATTGGAAAGTTGATACCTATACACTGTACATTCTTTCATTCTTTTGAGATGAACATGGTAAACCCTCCTATATAGAAATATAGAGCTCTCCAAATGGGGAAAAATGCAAGCCAAAAATCCCAAGAAAAATTAAAATGTGTTTAGAGGCCTATCTGAACTTCCTTTCAAATTATAGTTTCTTTCTTCGAATAATGGTTTTCCTAACTTAAATGATTTTTGCCCTCAAATGATCCCCATTCTGTCTTGCCCCGCTCTAAATCCTGCCTACCCTTTGAGGTCCTTTTTTTTTTTTTTTTTTTTTTTGAGACTGTGTCTCGCTCTTGTTGCCCAGATTGGAGTGCAATGGTGCAATCTCTGCTCACTGAAACCTCTGCCTCCTGGGTTCAAGTGATTCTCCTGCCTCGCTTTCTGAGTAGCTGAAATTACAGGCACCAGCCACCATGTCCAGCTAATTTTTTTGTATTTTCAGTAGAGACAGGGTTTAACCATGTTGGCCAGGCTGGTCTTGAACTCCTGACCTCAGGTGATCCACCTTCCTCAGCCTCCAAAAGTGCTGGGATTACAGGCTGAGGTCCATCTTAATGCAACCTTTCCTAACTATGTTAATATTCATCAACAATCATCTCTTATGAATTCCTAGCATGGTTTTCACTTCCATAAAGTAGTACTAAGCTACCTACTATATGTTAGAACTATTGCTTTAGGTAGGCCAGTTTCTCTTCCAATTTTGTGGCAAGATATTTCAAATTTGAAAATATGTATTTTACTTCCTCGGTACATCCATGAAGCCTATCACAAACCCAGACTCAAAAGATAGTAACTAAAAAGTATGTTAATTCCATTTCTATCTAGGATGTAGAATGCTGGAAAGAACATTATTCTTACACTAACAAGGATAAGGCAGATAGATAACTATAACTTCCCTTGAATCCACCGGTAAGTTGGGGTTACAGGACATCCAAAAAGTCTGTGAAAATATATCCAAAACGAAAGTAGGATAAAACCTTTCTTAGACAAACAAAACTGAAAGAATTTACTGTATTATAAGGAATGTTTTTTAAAAATTCCCTTGAAAGGAAAAAATATATACTAGATAGAAATTTGGACTTTTATAGAGAAGTAAAGAGTCCTGGAAATGCAATAAAGTGATGGTAAATATAAAACTTTTTTAAACTTCTATTATAAGTTCACAGGTACAAGTGCAGGATTGTTAGGTAAACTGTGTCATGGGGGTTTGTTGTACAAATGAAAAATATTTTAATTTTAAATTGCAATCAAAGATGGATATCTAAAACAAAATAATGTATTGTGTATTTATGTGATATAAAGTTAAACATATGATAACAATAGCACAATAGATGGGAAGAAAGAGAGGCATACTCTTAAAAAATCTGTACGCTTTTCTCAGCACCATTTATTAAATAGAGAATCCTTTCTCCACTGCTTGTTTTTGTCTGTTTTGTCAAAGATCAGATGGTTCTAGATGTGTGGTGTTATTCCGAGGCTTCTATTCTGTTCCATTGGTCTGTATATCTGTTTTGGTACCAGTACCATGCTGTTTTGGTTACTGTGTAGCCTTGTAGTATAGTTTGAAGTCAGATAGTGTTATGCCTCCAGCTTTGTACTTTATCCTTAGGATTGTCTTGGCTATGCAGGTTCTTTTTTAGTTTCATATGAAATTTAAAGTAGGTTTTTCCAATTCTGTGAAGAAAGTCAATGGTATGATGGGTATAGCACTGAATCTATAAATTACTTTGGGCAGTATGGCCATTTTCATGATATTGATTCTTCCTATCCATGAGCATGGAATATTTTTTCATTCGTTAGTGTCCTTTCTTATTTCTTTGAACAGTGGTTTGTAGTTCTCCTTGAAGAGGTCCTTCATATCCCCTGTAAGTTATATTCCTCGGTATTTTATTCTGTTTTTAGTAATTGTGAATAGGAGTTCACTCGTGATTTGGCTCTCTGTTACTGGTGTATAGGAATGCTTGTGATTTTTGCACATTGATTTTGTATCCTGACACTGCTGGATTTGCTTATCAGCTTAAGGATATTTTTGGTTGATACGATGGGGTTTTCTAATTATACAATCATGTCATCTGCAAACAGATACAATTTGACTTCCTGTCTTTTTATTTGAATACCCTTTATTTCTTTCTCTTGCCTGATTGCCCTGGCCAGAACTTCCGATACTATGTTGAATAGGTGTGGTGAGAAAGGGCATCCTTGTCTTGTGCTGGTTTTCAAAAGGAATGCTTCTACCTTTTGCCCATTCAGTATGATATTGGCTGTCAGTTTATCATAAATAGCTATTATTCTCAGATATGTTCCTTCAATACCTAGTTTATTGAGAGTTTTTAGCCAAAAACTTCATGCTAAACAATATATTAAAAAGATAATGCATCATCACTATGTTGAGTTTACCCTCGAATGCAAAATTAGTTCAACATTTGAAATTCAATCAATATTATTTACCATGTTAACAGACTAAAGGAGAAAAACTATCATGATCTTCTCTATAGATTTTTTTAAAGCATTTGGTAAAAGTAAATCATAGTACCAACAGTTTATTGTCATACAGACCTGAACAACACCAACTGAATGATAAGGAGAACACATTGTAGACATAAATGCAAGACCCACAGTCATTCCAGCAAATTCTGTTGCTCTGCAAGAAAGGAATAAATTGATATAAAAAATTATAATACTAAGCTCTATTTTTATAGACAATTCATCCAAAACCGTAAATGGTTACCAGAAAAACTCACTGTGAACCATCACTAAATGTTTTTCTTCAGTTTTTGAATTTGCATAAGGCATTTTTCTGTAGAACGGCTTTTGTGTCACTTAAAATCCAAACACCTAGATAAAATTATGTGGAATATTTTCTATGATTTCTGATTATAACACTTTTCATTGTGATATGTATCCCTTGTGAAGAAAAAAGAAAGGCTATTTTTGGTCCTAATACGTATTTCTCCATATACATCTTGTTTTGATATTAGCATTAGCACACAGGCTTTGTTTTTATTTATATTTTACTCATATTTTTATATCACATACTTTTGTTTTACATTAGCACTGTTTTAGTACAGTAGGTTTAGGGATTGGGCCCATTTTGAAAGCATTTTTATTAGTGATCATTTATATTATTCAAATAATTTTTATACTAGAGAGGGGTTTGAATCATTTGCACTTACATAGATAATATGTTTTTCCTTTTTTTTAATTTTTTTTATTATTATACTTTAAGTTCTAGGGTGCATGTGCATAACATGCAGGTTTGTTACATATGTATACTTGTGCCATGTTGGTGTGCTGCACCCATCAACTCGTCAGCACTCTTTAGTAATTTTAATTTGCTTTTTTGATTCCTTTTAATTTTTCTATAAATCTTCAATCATTTCATACTTGTTCCTTTTAGTTTTTTTTCTATCTGTACAAGATCCTGGCCCTTAATTGTCTCTGGAAATTTGCCAAATTTGCATCCGGTTTTTAATTTCCTTAGTAGATGCATTTACATGGGAAATTGAACCTGTATTTTCCATAAAACAATATTAAAAATAGAGAGTATCGATTCTGCTGTGTAAAATAAATGAGAAAACTTCTCAATTTTTCATTCCCTGCAGATTTTATCCATTTAGTCTGATTTCAGATATTTATTTTGAAAATATATTTTACATTATACATACTTAAAAGGTTTATGATACCTGTAATCTCTTTTAAAATTATATCACAAAATTATTTATACTTCATTCTACATTTTTGTGGTTTCAGTTCTCCCCACTTGCTCATTTGCAAAAACATTTCCTTCATTTTGGAGTTATGTATTTTGGTTTACCTTTTAAGTGAACAGAGTATATTTGGACTCTAATTTTTTAAACTACTTATACCTAAGTATAGGTATCTTTTGTTAATTTGTTTGGTAAATGGTAAGACATTAATTGCATAACTGGAAGAACAAATATTTCCTTTCTGTTTTCATTGTTTTCTGATTCTTGACATTGTATCATCATTTATTTTTACCTATACATTTATCATCTCGTCTATTATTTTTAAGCTTCTACACTATTACTGTACAGTGATGGAGTATTCAGTAATTTGTCTGGCTCCCTTATTACTTACCAGCTATGAGACCTTGGAAAATCACTAAACCCCTCCACAAAGAATGGGCTCTTGAGTCTAAAACTCACCTTTCCAAATTAAGAAATTGTGTAGGCTACTTCCCAAAGGTGACCCCCCAATGAGCCAACCTTGCAGTATTCTCAGCCTGAGTAGTGCCTTCCCCTTGAATCTGGATTGGCCCTACAACTTACCCTTGATTAAGATAATACACCAGTAATGACACCCTGTGACTTTTGTAGTTAGGTCATAAAAAACCTTGATGCATTATCTTGTGCCTCTTGAAATGCTTAGTCTGAGAAAAACTAGACACCTAGTAAGAAGTCCACCTACTCTAAGATAGCCATATTGAAGGGAAGCTCAAGCTGGGCACATGAAAGGGGATATAGACAGAAACATGACCAACCAGACTCACTGTTCCAGCCAAATGAGCCCACATGCCAATTATGTAAGTGAAGAAGCCTTATTTCAAGACCAGAAATTCAAGCTCGTTTGTCATGCAGTAACAGATGACCAGCACAGGAATATTAACTAATTCTGGTGGACATAGTTCACTGATTTCCCATGAAATTCATGGTTTTCTTAGATAATAGACTCTCCAGTAACTTCAAGACAATCCTTACTGCTTCCTTCTATCTGATTTCAACTAAGTATTACCCAGCTACCAGCAGCATTTTCTTGACCGTTTTGAGGCACACCCTCCAGTCTCACATAATTTATAGCCATTAGATTTATTTCCCCTATTGTTGTTAACTGGATATTTCAGCAGGAAATAAATGAGTGAAGATGTGGGGTTAGAATATAATACTTATTTTTTCTTCTAATAATATCTTAGAGGTTTCTTCTAACTTGAACCTAAAGCCAATCAGTTCTTTAATTAAACACTGAATCAAAAACTATCTTTCCATTATATAAACTTGTCTTTTCTTCCTGTATACCCAATAAAAACAAACTTTTTATGAATCATTGCTTTTTTTTTGAAAAAATAAAATACTTGGATCCAAAATAAGAGCATATTTGACATATAATCCAAGTAAGTGCTCTATAAATGTCTACTCCCCTATGTATACACCTCACTTTGCCAAGGTTCAGAAAAGCATCCACCAAATACCACATAGTGTGCAATGGGGGAAAATCTGTACATACGTGATTAACTGAGCAATATCATGACGCTTTCTTCTTGGGAGAACACTCCCCCTCCATTTAGAAAAATTTTCCAAGGTGAAGCTTGCATTTGGGGTTATCTTTATCTTATCCTCGTCAGTCCATATTTCCATACCAACTAAGGCCACATGAGTATTGAGTTTTTTATAAAGCTGTCCAAAGAAAATAAATGGCAAAGCAATTACTTATAATGGTGATATCATATCAAACATTTTCAATGTATTTTGTATTTTTAAACATTCATCACAGCAGTATAAAAACCTTATTTCCAAGCACATTTGTGAAACAGAATGTATTGACTATTTTGTAGACACTAAAACTCCCATTCAAAACAAAAGACAGATACCCTAAGATAGTTCAGGTCTGTAAATTTCTTTTTTGGGGGGGTTGGGGTGGTGTAGAAAAGGCCCTGTTAAGACAAAATATTCCTGTTTGTGCTCTTAAGAAATACTACAATTTTGTGTCAGTGGCCCATTACTATGGCTTCAATTGCCTATATGTTTTTCAGTGCTCTCAGAGTGAGAATATTTCAGAATTAGCAAAGTTTGCTCAGTGCCGGTTTAGGCATTAAAGTGGTAACACAATATGATCAAATGTACATCGATGCATTTACAATAAGCTAAGTAGTTGCTATAGTTTGAATGTTTGTGTCCCCCAAAATTCATGTGTTGAAATCCTAACCCCCAAGGTGATGGTGTGTTAGGAGGTGGGGCCTTTGGGAGGTGATTAGGTTATGAGAGTGGAGCCCTCATGAATGAGATTAGTGCCCTTAAAAAAGAGATCCCCAGAGAATTGCTTTGTCCCTTCCACCATATAAAGGCACAGTGAGAAGGCAGCTGTCTCCAAGCCAGGAAGACAATCTTCACCAGAAACCAAATCTTGATGGAACTTGATTTGGACTTCCTAGCCCCCAGAACTGTGAGCAATAAATTGCTGTCATTTATGAGCCACCCATTTTATGTATTTTCAGAATTAGACAATGGTCCTCTAATCTTAAACATGAATTGAACCAAATAATCCACAATGCATATGGGATAAACTTTAGAAATAATGAGTTAAGCTTATGAGACAATATGCTTACTCTAAAGATAAAAGCTTAAATTACTACTATAGTTTCTAAAAGTGCACAGTGACATTCTCACCAGCAACTTTCTGCTAAGAAACTTAAATACTTCTTAAAAAAAAAGGTAGTTTGGAAAACAAGAAAAGCATTAAGGAATGCCGTTACTGAGAGTGAAGTTAAAATCCAGCCATGTTATCATCCTTCACTTGATTATTCCCTCAACTTCCTTAACTTCCTTGTTCCTTTCTTGCTTAATTTTACTCACCTGACAAAACTCCAATCCTGGTTAAAAGCAACTTGCCTCTAAACCTCTCCTCCTTCTGCCCTTGAACACAGGGGAAAACACACTGTTCTGATTGCTCTCCTTTTTTTTTTTTTTTTTTTTTTTAAAAAAAAAAAAAAAAAGACGGAGTCTTGCTCTGTCTCCTAGGCTGGAGTGCAGTGGTGCAATCTTGGCTCACTGCAAGCTCTGCCTCCCAGGTTCATGCCATTCTCCTGCCTCTACCTCCCGAGTAGCTAGGACTACAGGTACCCACTACCACGCCCGGCTAATTTTTTGTTTTTTTTTTTTTTGTTGTTGTTGTTGTTGTTTTAGTAGAGACAGGGTTTCACCATGTTAGCCAGTATGATCTCGATCTCCTGACCTCGTGATCCGCCCACCTCAGCCTCCCAAAGCTCTGGGATTACAGGCATGAGCCACTGCGCCTGACCCTGATTGCTCTCACTTTAAAGCTGTGACTACCAACCTCAAGTAGTCCTTAACGCTTTCCAGCAAAACTGCTGTATTTCCAAATTCCATTCACACGCAGCTTTCTGCACACTTTTTTTATACTTCTTTTCCTAGTAATTCTAACATTTCCTTTAAATCTGACTTTCACAGTTGTCCTTGCTTCCACATTCACTGAGAGTATAAGAGCAATCTGAAGAGAATGTCCACAAGCTCCCACCGTTGGCCTATCCCCTCACCTATTCTTGTCCAAACATTCTGCGCCTCCCCATCTACTATATAAATGAACAACCTCTGAGTCTAAGACCAGTTTCTCCACGTATGTACTAAATCTCTTATTTCTGCCCCCATCAAGATTATTCCAACAATTCTTCTGTCTTTCCTGCATCAATGTTTAGCCCTCCACAAATCATTCCCATCAGCGTAAGAAGGAAATTTATTACTTCTTTTATTTCATATATATTGGTAATATATTTATTTCATATATATTGGTAATCACTTCACTATGTATATGCATATCAAAATAAGTATATTACAGCATTATATTGTACAACAAAAAATTATCTTTAGAGCATTTATAGAATACCACAAAGAGACTCATTAATTTCAAAATAAGTATGCCAACTATATATTCCAACAAACAGAAAACTAATAATTAGTACTTAAAGGTTGTAAAATCATTTTAAAAATATTTTGGAAATTAGATAACACAATCATGTCCAAAGAACATAGTCAACAGTTGTATGACTCAAATGGGTTTGGAAATCTGACAAATCTATATTCAAACCTCATGGTATCCTTTTCTCACTTCGTGATCTTAGGTGAGTTACTTTGTTTCTGAGAATATGATTCCTTAGCTATACATTAGGCTTTAGTAACATTTAGGATTGTTCTGGGGATTACATGAGATAATTGTTTATGAAATATGCTACTGTGACAGTGCTTTGCATTTTTGAAATTATTTTTCCCCTCTGGATCAGCTTTCTGTCAGGATTTGGTCTTCAGCATTTTCTTAGTGGATTTTTGGAAAACACAATGCACCCATGTAAAACCAGTTTTTATGTCTTCTTATACCTGAGAATAGTGTGACAGGTAAATAAGAAAAGTGTTGGTTTGTGGTTTTAATATTCATGTTCACCTGTGTAGCAAAAGTTGTGGTCATCCTTCGGGAGCCAGTCAGCCACACTGGTCTCAAGTATCTTGACTTTGCTTCCCTGCTTCAAGTGTGTTCATTGAAAAACCCAAAGACATCTCCCAGCAAACTGTTTAAAACTGCAGGTAATAAAATACGTCTTACCATGTTGACATAATTAGCCATCTCAAACACCCTCTTTCTGATTTCATCTTGATTCTCATTGTACTTTTTAAACTAAAAGAAAAATTAAGAAAGAATATGGGCATTGATAAAAATTAATATACTTGGAAGGTTAAAAAGGTATCTTCTCTTATATTAGTTATTGATTTCAATTAAAGATTAGTTATTAGAGTTAATTAAAAGTTAGAATCAAATTCCTATTCATCTAGCTACATTAAAGCACTTTGGGAGTGAATATGATGTTTTCTCTTCTGAAGTACTAGCTCAGTATAAAGCTCTAAAGAATTATTCCAAATGTATTTTCACTTAAATTCTATAGTTTTCTAAGCTGTGCAGAATTAGCAAAAGGAATACCTTATTAATTTAAGAGCTATGTTTATGAACAGTACATGAATTAAGCACAATAAGTAAGGCCAAAGCTTAGGGCCTGAGTTAATAGTTGACTTATATTTTCATACACATGTGCATTTTAAATTTAGAAAACCCAGTATATGAAAATGCATTCTTACAGTAGAAGATAAATAGTGACTGTCACAAAAATTTGCCTTTTCAGAGGATTCCATTCACTAAGCTTTCATTGTGACTGAGTAAGCTTTTATATTGACTCCCTAATGAGAATAAATTTTAACTTACAAATGATTTAACAATAACAGACAAAATGACAGAAGAATATAATTGGAAACCTAGTTGGGTGCTCTTAAGTCAATAAGAAAATAGTATTATAAGTCCCAACAATTTATGCATATCGTATCAATTGCCTTGATAGCTCTGAAAAGAAGAAATCATATCAGCTTAATTACAAATGTCAAATTTCATAGTTTTAGAAAAATATGTAACCATAGCTCATATTCATGTTTAAGTCTCATGCAGATATTTAATGTCTCACATAATAAATAAATATATATGAATGGGAATTTTGGAAGACAGCACATTTATCTCATACAATTACCTCACCATTATCCAGGACCAAATAATATTCTATGTATTTCTCACGTTTCTGAACCTTCCCATCATTCAATTTCTGAAATATAAAGAGGAGAATTACTGATACAACATCTTTTTCTGCAAAAGTTCTTATATTATTTGACATCTGTAATTTTATAAGCAGTTGGTTGATATTTGGAGTAAAGGCAGACAATATTAGCATTTTAATACCAATTCAACAGACAGGATTATCTACCAACAAGGCTCATACATTTGGAGGTGAAGGGACATCAGCAATATTCTGGTCTGACTCCTTTATTTTATCAAGGGGTCTAAATTATGTACTAATAGGGGAGCTAGAAATAAAACCAAAGTCTTTCTTTTTGAACAGTAGGCTTCTTCAGCATCCTGAAACAAAATAGAGGAACTTTGACTTCAGCATCCTCCTAGTGTTTTTAGTTAGGTTTTTTTGTTTTGTTTTGTTTGGTAGCCTTTAATTCATATCCTGGTGAAATACCTGCTCCTTTATCAATGGTGCAATGCAGAGACACCATTGTTTCTAGTCTACTTTGTTCTCTTCTCTCCTTCCCATGTTTCAAACTTAACCAATGTTCTGTTCCTTTCTCTATCTCAAAAAAAAAAAAAAAAAAAAAGCCAGGTGCGGTGGCTCATGCCTGTAATCCCAGCACTGGGAGGCCGAGGTGGGTGGATCACGAGGTCAGGAGATCAAGACCTTCCTGGCTAACACGGTGAAACCCCATCTCTATTAAAAATACAAAAAATCAGTCGGGCGTGGTGGCGGGCGCCTGTAGTCCCAGCTACTTGGGAGGCTAAGGCAGGAGAATGGTGTGAACTGGGGAGGCGGAGCTTGCAGTGAGCCAAGATCACACCACTGCATTCCAGCCTGGGTGACAGAGTGAGACTCTATCTTAAAAAAAAAAAAAAAGAAAAGAAAAGAAAAGAAAAGAAAATTACATAGTGGATTGTCTCATTGAAAAGGGACCAATAGATTATTCCTACTAAATAATAGCTCACCAAAGTTTATTAGATTGCATTTCTGGAAGTGCACGTCTTTTAGTAGGTAACTAAAGTTCGATTACAAAGAACAAATTCCTGAAGATAGACTTTTAGATGTTATCTAATGCGACATGTACTTACTTCCTACCCTCCATGGGAACAAAATATTTATTAGCACTTAAAATACACTGAGAGTGCTCTGGGAACTGCAAATGCAGTAGTGAAATCAACATGGTCTGTCTGCTGATGAAGCTTACAAGAGACAAACATAAACATATCAGATGGTGGCCAGTGCTATGTGGAGGATTAAAGTGGGCATGTGATATTGAGTTACTAGGTAGTTATTTCAGAATAGGTGAAATTATCTAAAGAGCTGGTCATCTAGCAGATGTATTAAGGAAAATGAGAAGCCAGGCAAGGAAAGATAAATTGGAAGACAATTCCAGCAGAGAAAAAAAAAATTAGTAAATAGACTCTAAGGTGAAAAGTATTGGCATATTTAGAGCATAGGAAAAAAAACGCTTGTGTTTTGTATAACATAATGGGGCAGGTCACCGAGAGATGGGGAGTAAAGAGTAGGAAGAGACCAGAGAGGTCGATGGGAACACAATCATATAGGGGTTTGTGACCCGTGGTCAGTTGTGTGGCTTTTATACTAAATGCTATGGGAAGACATCAGAGGGCTTTGAACAGAAAAGGGATGTGATGTGATTTACAATAAAAATAGCACTGGATTGATTATGTGGAGTGTGGATTCTGCTGAACTGGGATGGGCAGGTCAGGCAGAGGCTGTTGTCATGGTTATTATGAGATGGTACCTTGGCATAGTCAGAAAAGGAGCAAAGCAAAAGATCTGAAATATGTTGGAGGCACTTGCTTGTGGATACCATGTAAGGAGGGATGAAGAAAAAGAGAATCAAGGATAATTTCTAGATCCAAACTTGAACAAATGATGAGTGGTGGTAGTGTTAAGTAAAATGGGGAGAAAAAGAGAGGAGTAGGTTTTGTTTGTGGTTTAGAAATTGGTAGTTCTTTTCTGGACATATTTTAGGTTTGTGATATCAGATGTTTGAGTAGATATATTAAAAAGATAATTATAACAGTCTGGCCTTTAGGAGAAGGGCAGAGGCTAGAGATACACATCTGATGGCCATTAGTGCACAGTTCCTATTTAAATAAGGCACAGGACAGGGTGAGATTACCTAGGAAGAATGTGTAGATAAAGAAAAAGATCCAGGATTGAGTTATGTGAAGTTCTCTAATATTTACCAGTCAATCAGAGCAAGGGTGACAGAAAGGAAATGAGAAGAAATAGCACTCCTGAGGTAGAGGAAAGTCAAAATGATAAAATGTCTCGAAAGCAAGGCTCTTTCCACATAGTTACCAAGGAATGGAGACAGACGGATAAGAGGCCGGTACAAGCAAACCCAGGAGTCGATATTCACAGCAACATATAGCTAGGAGTTTCACCAAGTTCTGGCCAATCAAAGGTGGCCAACTCTTCAAACCATGTTCAAATAAGGCAAACACCAAGCTGTAACCAATGCAGCTGTTTCTGTACCTTAATACATTTTCTGTACATCATTTTTCTGTCCATAAAATCCTCTCCAACCATCGAGCAGCACGGAGTTGCTCTGAACCTCTTCTGGTTCTGAGGGCTGCTGGATTGTCAAACCATTCTTTGCTCAATTAAACTCTGTTAAATCTGTCTACAGTTTGTCCTTAACAGTCCTCATATTGTACATTAGATCTTTCAATTGCTTCACCCAGCACATTGGCTACTTGGTATCCTTAGACCTGTATCTCCCTATTTCCTGTCCCTACCTAGACCCTGGTAACCACTGTTTTATTCTCTACCTCTATATATTTGACACTCATTCTCCCACTTTTTTTAGATTCCTTTTCATTTTGTTTGTTTTATTTGCTGTGCAGAAGCTTTTTCGTTTGATATAGTCTCTTTTTTTATTACATTTTTACTTTTATAACCTTAGCTTTTAGGTATGATATCTAAGAAGTCATTGTCAAGGTTAATGTCAAACAGTTTTTTCCCTCTATTTTCTTCTAGGAGTCTTATGGTTTAAGATATTACATTTAGGCTTCTTGCTCATTTTGATTTGAATTTTTAGTAATGGTATAAGAAAAGGATTCGATTTCATAATTTTGCATGTGGATATCCAGTTTTCCCAGCACTATTTATTGAAGAGATGATCCTTTCCCCAGTGTGTCTTTTTGGTGCCTTTGTTGAAAATTAATTGACCGTATATGTTTGGATTTATTTCTGAGCTTGCGATTCTGATCCACTGGTGTAGGTGTCTGCTTTTATGCCATTATACTGTTTCAATTACTATATCTTTGTAATATAACATTAAATCAGGTAGTATGATGTCTTTTTTTCCTCAGAATTCCTTTGATTATTTGGAATATTTTGTGGTTCCATACAAATTTTATGATTTTTTCTTATCTCTGTAAATACTGTAATTGGGGTTTTTATAAGGATTGCATTGAATCTACATATTGCTTTAGGTAGTATGAACATTTTAACAATATTCTTCTAATTCATGAGCATGGAATATTCATTTATTTGCATTTTCTTCTATTTCCTTCATCAATGTTTCATAGCCTTTGGTGTACAGGTCTTTCACCTCCTTAGTAAAATTTATTCCCAAGTATTACTTATGTTATAAATGGAATGGTGTTCTTGATTTCATTTTTGACTAGGTTGTTTTGTGGATAGAAATGTCACAGATTGTGTATGTTGATTTTATATCCTGCAACTTTATTGAATTTATTTATTGGTGTTAATGGGCTTTTGGTGGAATCATTAGGGTTTTCTATAGGTAGAATCATTTCATCTGCAAATAGAGGTAATTTTAGTTCTTCCTTTCCAAGTTGAACGTTTGTTTCCTTTGCTTTTCTAAATGCTCTTGATAGTACTTCTGGTACATGTTTAACAGAAGTGGTAAAAGTAGGCATCCTTGCCTGGTACCAGAAGAATGGCTTTCTATTTCTCCTTTCTGATTGGTTATGATGTTATCAGTGGCTTTTCATAAATGGCTTTTAATTTAAAAAATAGAAGAGTGGGCTGGTAAACCTTATTGCTTGGGCTGAGACATATTTTAGAGTTTCACATCATTCCAGCTTCAAATAAAATAATGCAAAAGTGTTCTTAAATATTCATTATGGTTTAATCATCAACAACTGCATTGTACACTATCGACATTTGTGTGGTTGCTGAAAGCCTATGATTATGTGCACTTAACCACACCTTTCTTATCAAAACTTGAATTCCAACTAAGCGAAGGACAAAAGTTACATATTAAATGAATTTCAGAAGAAGACCCACATATCTGAGTGAGCACTTACTTCCATGAAGAAAGAAGAATATAAGAATGACAAAATCTCTGAAATGTAACTGGCATGTAAAAAAGTTTTCTGATTATAAACTATCAACTTTGATTTAGTTTTGGGAAACTAGCTGCTATAGAATGTTTACAAATATCCTAAATCAAGAGAATTGGTAACATTGTATGTTAATAAAATAAGGCATATTTGACTGCTAAAATATATAAACAAATAAATAAATAAATGGCCTTTATGATGTTGAGGAACTTTTCTTCTATGTCTAAACTCTCAGATCAAGAACCATTAACTCCACACCATTATTTAACTGCCTAAACTTTTAATCAAGACAGCATGTTGAACTTCGTTTAATGCCTTTTCACCAATTGATATGATCATGTATTTTTTGTCTTTCAGTCTGTTGATATGATTGATATATTACATTGATCAAGTTGTGTATGTTAAGTCAGTATGCCAAGAATAAATCCAATTTGATTATGATGTATAATATTTTGGATGTGTTGTTGAATTTGATTTGCTAATATTTTATTGAAAATTTTTACCTCAATGTTTGTCAGAATTATTGGCCTGTAGTTTTCCTTTCTTTGGTGTCTATGTCTTGGCTTGGTATAAAGGTAATACTGGGCTTGTAAAAAATGTTAAGAAGTACACCTTCCATCTCTATTTTTTTGAAAATGTTAAAAATTATTGGTAATAATTCTTCTTTGAATGTCCGATACTTTTCAGCTCTAGAGTCATCTAGTCCTAGGTCTTCCTTGTTGAAAGGTTTTTAATTACTATGTCAATCTCTTTGTTATTGGTCTGTCCAGGCTTTCTACTTCTTTCTGATTCAACCCGTATAGCTTGTATTTTTCTAGGAATTCATCTATTTTCTCTAGGCTATCAAATTTATTGACAAATAATTTTTCATATTGTCCTTTAAGATCTTTTTATTTCTGGGACATCTTTCGTAAAATCTCCACGTTCATTTCTGATTTTACATATTTGAGTTTTCTCTCTCTTTCTCTTAGTCTACCTAAGAGTTTGTCTATTTTGTTACCATTTGCATGGAATATGTCCTTCCTTCTTTTTCTTTCAGCCAATGTATGTCTTTAAAGCTTAAAAGTGTCTCTTGGAGGCAGCATATAGTCAGATCTTCTTTTTGTAGCCATTCAGGTATTCTTTATCTTTTGATTGGAAGAATTAATCCATTGATATCCCTAGTAATTATTTATAGGAAAGGATGTAATAATGCCATTTTGTTTTATAGGTTTTTTTTTTTTTTAATTTCTTCCTCCCTTGTTTATCTTTGTGATTTGGTCATTTTTCTGTAGTGCTGCATTTTTATTCTTTTCTCTTTATCATTTGTATCTGCTATAGTTTTTTTTTTTTTTTAATTTACCATGAGGTTTACACAAAACATCTTATAGTTGTAATGGAGTATCTTATACCAATAACAACTTCAGTCATGTATAAAAACTCTAGACTTTTATCTTCCCCCCGACAATTTATACTTTTAATGTCATAATATACATATATTATATATTTCTTAACAAATTATTATGGGTATCATTATTTTTGACTCATTTGGTTTTTAAGTTTCATACTAGAGATATATGTGATCTACAGAGCACTTAAAAGTATTGGCATATTCTGGATTTGACTACATATTTACCTTTACCACTGAACTTGCTGGTAGAATTTAAACCTACAGAAAATTAAACTGACTAGAAATTTTATTTAGACCAATTATGCCCTGTGCTCACAGACTCTGTGAACATTTAAAAGAAATGATTGGATTTGAAATAAATATTGGAAATAAAAGTAGTATCAACAAGGAAATAAAACTAATGTCAACAAAGATATTTTGATATGTACTCTACAGACTAAAACAGAACACTATATTCATTTTTCTCCTATGACTAGAAGCAGAATTCCACACATAAAATAATATTCTAAGTTCCTGTAGCCAAATTCTATGTCTATCTTGCTTATTTCTATCCCTCCAGCACCTGTGACAGCACTTTAAGAGAGATTTGTTGAATGAATTTATGATGACAGGAGGATGTTTTATTTCAAAATAATAATAATCACTTCATAGCTTTTTGGCTAAAATCAAGAGCAAATTAATAATAATACTTTATATCTTTGTGGTTTATTATAGGCTACAGGGAATACTGTGACAGGTTCCTGCTTCTAGAGGGCAGTTACATTTTACACTTAGTTTTAACCGTTGTACATTGCTGAAAATAGTAGTTGATTCCAGCCAAGTGCGGTGGCTCACGCCTGTAATCCCAGCACTCTGGGAGGCTGAGACAGGTGGATCACCTGAGGTCGGAAATTTGAGACCAGCCTGACTAACATGGTGAAACCCCATCTCTACTAAAAATTAGCCAGGCATGGTGGCACATGCCTGTAATCCCAGCTACTCAGGAGGCTGAGGCAGGAGAATCACTCGAACCCAGGAGGTGGAGGTTGCAGTGAGCTGAGATCACACCATTGCACTCCAGCCTGGGCTACAAGAGTGAAACTCCATCTCAAAAAAAAGAAAATAGTTGATTCCTAACTATTTGTTAAATGAATCATTAATGTCTAGCAATATTTAAAGATTAGTGTCTCTATAACTTACTAATTTCGACAATGACTATAGCTTCAGTAAATTGCACTGCTAATTCTGGAAACCAAGGCAGAATACATGAGAGCATTTCAAATAAAAATGAAGTTACACATACTACTAGTCTGGTGGCAGGTCGGGCAATGTTCTGCAAATCATGGGCCCACAACACACCATCCGTCCCACAGGTGCTGTCATAATTCTTTTCATCGGGGTCATACTTGAAGAGTGCATGCTCCCGTCCATCCCAATGTATGGGGCTTAAAGGTTCAATAAAGTATCTTTGATTCCCCTGACTGAAGTAGCCCCTGAAAAAAAAACAGAATTCTGGTTTCTTAACAAAGTATTACTGCATTAGGTTCATACAGATTTATAAGACCCAAAAGAGGACCTTTAAAATTCCTAGTCAATGTCAAAAACAATTTCAGCTCATGGCAATAAAATACAGAAAAACTTACAGCTGAAGATACCTTGGAGATTATCTAAACTTATTTTCTACAAGGAAGTAAGACATATTAGGGAGAAGTGACTGCTGCAATGTCGTGCAACCAACCATTATCAGTTCTGGCACTAGAATGAATATTTCCTGACACTTGGTCCATCATTCTTCCAATTCTAATGCTATACTTGTTTTAAAGGTACCCTTAAAATGAAAGAGACTTGAGAGTTTTATAGATAAGTGTTAAAATACTGGCTTTATAACTCATTCACTGTGACACATTGGGAAAATTTTTTAAACTCACAAGCCTCAGTTTCTCCACTTTTATTTGTCATGACGCCTTCCTAATATTGTGATAGTAAAGACTGAATGTGAGAACATGTAAAGCACATGACAAATATTATCAACTTCCTAATTTTCTCTGCTAAAACCTTGAACTAGGATTCATTCAACCAATATTCACTGAGTACCCATTATTCATTAGGCATTGGACTAAGGGTAGACAGCACAAATAAAGATATGGTCTCTTTTCTTATGGAGCTTATGTTCAAATGAGGAAGATGGATATGTATCAAATAATTACAGAATATATATAACTATATAGTAAGTACTTATATATAATTATAATAGATAATTGATGTGAAGAAAAAGTACAAGAGAATATAATAGACTGAATTAAGTGTACATAAAACTAGATAATGGCAAGACCTCAAGTGGTCCGCCCACCTCAGCCTCCCGAAGTGCTGGAATTACAGGTGTGAGCCACCACCCCCAGACTCCCTCCCCACTTTAAGCTCCCTCTCTCTCTAGATGGTCTTATCTGTGTTATGACATACATTTCTGTCTGTTAATGATATGTTATGCATCTCATATCCATGAGATGCATGAATTGAGAAGATGATATGAGAAGACAAATTATTGCAATGGTCTGCATAAGGAATCATGGTAGATGGACTAGGATATTGCAGTAGAGACAGAATGAACAATTTCAGAAAGCGTTCAGAGGACAGAATCAACAAGACTTGGTAAGGGATTGAAATTGCAGGGCTGAGGGGCAAGCAAACCTCAAGGAATTCAGGTTTCTGAACTGGGCAAGTGATTATTTGATTATACCACTGATGAAGACAGAGACATGGAAACTGTACCAGACTCAAGAGACAATCATTAGTTTGGTTTAAGGCACACTGAAATTGAGATTTCTTTAAGGTATCCAACTGAAAATATGAAAAAGAAAATTAGATAATCAAGTCTGGACATCAGAAGAGCCACCTTACTATAGACAGATGCATAGCATATCATTAACAGACAGAAATGTATGTCATAACACAGATAAGACAATCTAGAGAGAGAGCTTAAAGTGGGGAGGGAGTCTGGGGGTGGTGACTCACGCCTGTAATTCCAGCACTTTGGGAGGCTGAGGCGGGCGGACCACTTGAGGTCAGGAGTTCAAGACTAACCTGGCCAATATGGTGAAACTCCGTCTCTACTAAAAATACAAAACTAGCCAGGTGTGGTGGTGGGCATCTGTAATCCCAACTATTCGAGAGCCTGAGGCGGGAGAATTGCTTGAACCCAGGAGGCTGAGATTGCAGTGAGCTGAAATTGCATCACTATACTCCAGCCTGGTGACAGAGCAAGACTCCATCTAAATTAATAAGTAAAATAAAGTGAGGAGCGAGAAGAGAGAGCAGCTCCCATTCCCGAAAGATTCTGACTCCAGAACTGGGACTCAAAATCCTGTATTTTAAAAATAAGCTAACAAAAATATCTTTGAAAGCAATTCAGATATGTAATTTACAAACCACTATCAAGAGAAGCAGTGTTGCTTCAAATTTCAACATTTATGGCCCTTATGATTCATATGCAACTACATACAAATTAATGATATTTGGGATTCATCTGGTTGGTTAGATATATACATAAATACCACAATCACAGGTGCATGCAAAACATTCCTGAACTCTTACCTTAGACCCCTACATGTGCTGATGCTAGCGTCAGAATCCTTTTCATTAATGATATGTCCTTGATAGTAACAATCATCCTAAAGGAAAAGGGGTTTTGTAAAGAGAAGTACATGTGAATGTTAGTGCCACTGCTAAAGCCGCATTTGAAATCTTGAAACAGGATTTTAAATACTTTAAATACTTTCAAACTATATTCTGCTGAACAACAGTAAACTCAGTGACGTTTAAGAAATAATTAAAAGCTTTCATATAAATTGAAATTGTTAATGTCAATGATCCCAAAATGTTTACAAGGTATTAACTGTCAGTGTTGACTAAGTAGGATGAATGTCAATAATATTTAGATGGAATAAACTTGGATATGTAAGTTTAAAACCTGAGCTCCTAAAACACTGGGCACTCATTTTTCCTTTTGGCTGATTTCTCATTAACTTTTTTCTAGCAAAGATCTACAAGCCTTTTTCCAAAGGACGGGTTATTCAGATTGGGTTTTTGTTTTTTCTTTCTTGATTTATCTGAAGTGTTCCATCAGATTAATTGGATCACCACATTTCTTGCCTGCATTTGGAGCAAAATGCCCTTCTTAACATTTTTTCGTGTGGGTGTTCCATGAAGGACCTTTCTAGTTGGGGACAGATGAGGTGTTGGCCCATGTTCACTCTGGTATTATTGCTACAGAGAACAATGCTTGAAGGGCTTCCCATGGAAAATGGAGCTCAGAAAAAGAGGTAATGGTGCATGATGCCTCACATGGCTACACACCGTCATCTGCTCACTCTAAGAAAAGATGGGCTATGAATAGGAGTCAAGAGAAATTGTTAAAGAAAAACAATTCTGCAATTGCCATTGAGGAAACAGTCTTGGTTGAAGAGACCACAAATCCAGAGAAATGATAGAAATTGATTGAGAGCACCAGAGGTATGTAACTCTTCATGCTCATTCTACCCACCCTCCTATAGGAGTCCTTAAAGGCTGGAAAAACTTACCAGAGTTGCCAAGAAATTGTTTTGCTCTTGTTAAAATATATAAAAAAAAAAAGAAAAGTGGAAGATCAATTGGGTAAGGGCTACTGCTGAAAAAAGCACTAATGTTATAAACGCAGTTTCACTTCTATTATTTGCCTAGCGAGGACACCGCCTTTAGGGCTCTGGGTAAAACCCCTATTAAAGAATTGAAGAAAATGTTATACCATAATTTGTGGGCTTGTGGTGATCTCCTTTCCAGTGGAATTATAATATGTTTCTGTGTAGCCTGGTGCAAGGAGGTTCCTAGAGAAAGACAAAAATGTTGTGGTTACTTGTGCTGATTGCTAAGTCCAGTGAACTTCTTAAGTCATTTGAGAGCAAAAGCTGATTAGTCCAGGTTTGTACGGGCCATAATCAGCAACAGACTCAGCACATTCTCCATATGCTGCCTTTCTCTTGCTGAGGATAATATCACAGATAAACGTACTTACTTGTTTTTTTTCAAATAAAGCACCACAATTTTTCCATTAACTGTCATTTTATACTTTAATTCAGTTTCAAATTGTTCCTGCAAAAATATACAAACATTTACTTGTAATTAAAAACATACACAAATATTCACTTGAATATTATACTTCTATCTGTGTAGTCATTAGCAAGCAATATCTGCTTTTTAGCAGTATAATACCAAATGCTTGCCTCTTCCCCTTTTAACATATCCAACAACTCTGGCAACTAAACAAACAAATTATCTGACAGCCTGTTATCCATCCATCCTTCCATCCATCCATCCTTGCATTTTGCAAATATTGTTTGAGTGAGTGCTGTTTCTTTGCAAGATACTGCTTGGTTTTGAAAATTCGACTCTAAGCAAGAAAAATTGGTACCTACTGTCAGAGAGCTTATAATCTTGTGAAAAGGCAGACACTGACATGAGTTATGTGCATGATGATGGATGTATATAGTAGGATGTCTAACATCTTAAGGCCAGGAAAGGCTTTTTTGAGGAAGTAATGTTTAAGATGGCACATAACTTACCCAGGTGAAGTGAGAAAGTGAAGTTATCTGATTAGAAAGAATAGTGTACACAGACGCCTAAAAACTTCTATCACATCTCATGATTTTTGGTCTCGAGGTCTTCTCAAGACTAAGTGGAACATAAACTGTGAGAAACATAGCAGGAATATATACTGTAATGGGAGGAAGAACCATCAAGAAGAAACCACAGTCCCAGGTATTTAGGAGGAAGAAATATTACTCAAGTCAACCACGTAAAAGGAGAATTATTTTAAACTTGGATATTGGTATATAAGGAGAGCTGTTGAGGACTACACAGAATTCTTTTAAAGAAGATGTTTTGGGGTACTAAGTTCTGACTTTCATCTATAAAACAGGGTTATTAGCTGTGGTTGCACTCAATATCTAAAAAGTTATTAGAAAGTGCCTGGTTACTGTCATTAAAGATATCTACAAAGGGCTAATATCCAGAACCTACAAAGAACTCAAACAAATTTACAAGAAAAAAACAAACAACCCCATCCAAAAGTGGGCAAAGGATATGAACAGACATTTCTCAAAAGAAGACATTCATACAGCCAACAGACACATGAAAAAATGCTCATCATCACTGGCCATCAGAGAAATGCAAATCAAAACCACAATGAGATACCATCTCACACCAGTTAGAATGGCGATCATTCAAAAGTCAGGAAACAACAGGTGCTGGAGAGGATGTGGAGAAATAGGAACACTTTTACACTGTTGGTGGGATTGTAAACTAGTTCAACCATTATGGAAAACAGTATGGCGATTCCTCAAGGATCTAGAACTAGATGTACCATATGACCCAGCCATCCCATTACTGGGTATATACCCAAAGGATTATAAATTATGCTGCTATAAGGACACATGCACACATATGTTTATTGCAGCACTATTCACAATAGCAAAGACTTGGAATCAACCCAAATGTCCATCAGTGACAGATTGGATTAAGAAAATGTGGCACATATACACCATGGAATACTATGCAGCCATAAAAAAGGATGAGTTTGTGTCCTTTGTAGGGACATGGATGCAGCTGGAAACCATCATTCTTAGCAAACTATCACAAGAACAGAAAACCAAACACCGCATGTTCTCACTCGTAGGTGGGAACTGAACAATGAGATCACTTGGACTCGGGAAGGGGAACATCACACACTGGGGCCTATCATGGGGAGGGGGGAGTGGGGAGGGATTGCATTGGGAGTTATACCTGATGTAAATGACGAGTTGATGGGTGCAGCACACCAACATGGCACAAGTATACATATGTAGCAAACCTGCACGTTGTGCACATGTACCCTACAACTTGAAGTTTAATAATAATAAATAAATTTAAAAAAAAAAAAAAAGATATCTAAATATGGTAGACCAAAGGTGGTTGAGAAACACATATTGTAGACTGAGTTCTGTTTCTTCTGCTGTGTTGCACCTAAGGTCAAGCCTTCCTTCTCTCCCTCTCCTTCTGGTTAGTGTGGTATCTGAGCTCATAGAGGGACAATGCATGTTAGAGTCATCAGCTCATGAGTACTGTTCTGGGATTTAGCCCTCTCCAAAGTCAATTGTTACAGTCCATACTTTCCTTAAATCCTCAGTTGTTGAGGTCTGCTCTGCTGTCAATAATCCCAGGCTATAAATATCCCCCAATGTGGGCCTAGATAAGTAGAGGTTGATGGACTCAGCTTATTTTCATGGACGACAGGAACTGGAAAGAGACAGGGCATTGAAAATAAAAGTTATGCAGAGTAGTCATAACCTCTTATCGTTCAGGTTTAAGAAAGGCTAGCTAGAATGAAGCTATGAGAACGATACCTAATATGGTCTTCTACCAGAAATGGCCTTCCAGATATCTGCTTTCTGTTCAGCAATGCATTTTTAGTAGATTTAGTAACTAAAACTTTAGCTGAAGGTTGTTTTAGAAAAGAATAAATGCTTTTGGGGTGGAGTTTTGGTCAACACTGGCATAAAGATTATGCATGGAAGGAAAGATCAAGGAAGAAAGCCAGAGTCTCTATGAAAGAGAGTACACTGGGTAATATAATAATAATAATACTTTTGAAAGCGAGTTCCCTTGTGGAGAGCAAGGTTTGAGGATAAGAAGTGTTGTCCTAGTTGTGCACTCTGTGGGTTCGGAAGTATGCATCAAAAGAAGTAAGGTTCACCTTGATTTGGAGAGTACTCACTAGAAGGAAATGATTTCGGTTTTACTGAGGAAGACTAGCTAGCCACAGAAACATATAGATCCAAATTTTCTCTAAAAATAATGTCATAGGTCCGATTTAGAGGGTGGATTGTGAAAGCCACAGTCCTGGATGGTCCTGGGATGGAGCAAATCTGTAAGTTCAAGGACATGTCAATGGGCACACAGGAAATATCAAGAGAAGTCCTAGAAGACACAGAGAGATTCTTAATTCTAGTAATACAACAGTTACTCAAAACTCACAGTGAATCCATGAGCTCTAAAAACCCTGCTAAATCAGCTAATGGGCCTGAAAGAGTTCTCAATCTGAGGGAAGAATTGTGCTGTAAGATATTTTCTTTTATGACATGGGCCAATACCAAGGTAGTTTGGGCCTCTAAGAACATGTACAATCTGGATGCTGAATTCTATGAAGAATAGTTACTGTCTTTGGAATGTAAGTTCCCAGCATCAGGGACTTTCGCAGAGTATATGTTAAATATGTCTCCAGGGAGGTTTATGGGTAATATGCTCCAGTCATAAACATTTATTCATTTGTCCATTAGTTTACTTATTCATTTGCTCATTTATTTAACACATACTTATTTAGTCCTTATATCATTCATATAAATACAATCGTGAATATAATTATGAATAAAATATTCAAAGTTCTACTTTGTTCTTTATCCCCAGCCCCCAAAAATTTTTACAAAGGATTATTTCAGTCTAGCTGAAATATGAAGAGACGTGGCATGTGTGATCAAGTCAGAAAGATGGTGTCACACCCCTGGCATAGCTGACAGGTAAAGCCAGTGCCTCAGTTCTCTGGTTGTATAATAAAACAACACAGGGCACAGTTGTATAATGATAACTACAAAAGCCCTCCATCTGTTCACTGTCTTGAGAAGTGAAGCACTTAATCGAGGGTGAGACCTATGAAGCTTTTATGGGATGGGATACAGAGATCCCCTTGATCATAAGGGTGGTCAACTGCACTATGAATTGTGGATTGTTTCAAGTAGTATTTGCTAATCAAGTCTTTGCACAGGGAAGACCAATAGTCTCAACACAGAAACTGCAAAGATAACTCCCAAGAACTTGGCTTACACCTGGAAGACAGCGTTCTTATTAGTCGTAAGGTGTGCCTGAGAGACTATAGAAGAGTCTATGCCAATGGAAATCATATATTTGTTGTGTGGCAAACAAAGATGTCACTAACTTCTTTAGTCTATGTTTGTAAAATGAGTATCATATGGCAGAACCCAATAACCCCAACAGGGCAGGATTGAGATATGAGGCATGCAGCAGCATTAGAAGCCTTAGGTCGTGGATAGGACAGAATCTGGAATCATGGAGAGATTGCTAGGGTTTAGTTCTGGACGTTCACAGGGTGATATCAAAAGCCACAGGATAGGATTGCCAGGTAAAATACAGGATGCCAGTTAAATGTGAATGTCAGATAAACAGAATATTTTTGTTAATACATATAATACTTTTTAAAATACATGTGCCCCCTATGACCACTGTGACACACAAATGAAATATTTGTTGTTTATTTGAAATTTAAATTTAACTGGGCATCTTATATTTCTATTTGCTAAATGTGACAATCCTGCACATGGAGGAGTTTAGAAGATGTGAGAAAGAATGGAAAGTAGAGATCAGTGACGAAGAAAAAGAGATGCAAATGCACTAGCTGGGAAAATTAGATTCATTCTGTCGGAATGCTTCTTTACAATTATATCAGAAATGTTGTGTGGGATACACACACACACACACACACACACACACACACACACACAGTGGGGGGGGGGGTGGAGGAGGAGAGGGAGAGGGAGAGAGAGAGACTCACTCTGTCACCCAGGCTGGAGTGCAGTGGCATGATCTCAGCTCACTGCAACCTCTGCCTCCCGGGGTTCAAGTAATTCTCCTGCCTCAGCCTCCTGAGAAGCTGGGATTACAGGTGCGCACCACCACACCCAGCTAATTTTTTGTGTGTATTTTCAGTAGAGTCAGGGTTTTACCTTGTTGGTCAGACTAGTCTCGAACTCCTGACCCTTGTGATCTGCCTGCCTTGGCCTCCCAAAGTGGTGTAGGAGATATTCATACAAAAAGATTTTTACTGTTTGCCTGAAATTCAAACTTAACTGGTACTCTGTATTTCATCTGGCAACCCTATCATGTGACATTTCATATCTTCCTGTGAACAGCTGGAATTAAACCCTAACAAAAGTTACTGCTAATGGTTTAGCCACCTGGTTATTGTGGGGTAATTCAAAGGTGTCACCTGACACCTGAGATATTAAAAAGTAAACATGGGAGAGTTATATTTATTTCTGAGATGC